GCATGATAGCTTGGAAATAGGCAAGTCCCTACTTAATTTCTCCAGGTTGTTCATCATTTCAGAATCTTCTATTAAGTTCTCTCTCCTTCAAGAAGGTCATTTCATACGTGCATCTTTCTCCTGAGAATGCTTCGGGGCAGGACCAAGGGAAAATCTCACACACAGCACTGCAAATGTGGACTTGCAGCATACTTGAGCAGTGGTGTAACAGCATTTTTCTTTTCCCAGGATTCACACCAGCTTTTAACTACTGTACAAGGAAACTGTTTCAACAGAACCTTGAAAAAACAAGAATCTAAAATCTATGGGACAATCCAGCTCACAGCCCATACTAGATGTACATTAAACTAGAATTTCTGAATCTAACACTTGTCTACAAACAATTTTAGTTGTTGTGCCTCAACTTACTCCAGAAATATGAAGTACTTCCGCATGCTTTCAGGTAGCCTTCACTTCTTGTGCTATGAGTAGTTGAGTACAACTGAACTCTTCTTGCTATTCATCACTTGCTCTGTTCAATATAACCACAAGCAATTAATAAAAAGTTCCAGCACAAAACACAGTGAGACCTAACTCTGAAAAGTTACCATTTATTCATACAGGAACTTTCCTTAAAAAAAAGTCCAGAGTGAATAAACAACCATCACCATTCCATGGAAGCCTGCTTTATGAGCCTTACACAAGGACATTTACAAACTCTTTTTAAAAAATTAAAACAGAAATCGTTATTTGGGATAAATTCTTCTCCAAATCAGACTCCCTCAAATCACTGACACATGTGAAGCATTATTTTCCCTGATATAAGTCTTACTGACCCGACTCTTACCATGAGTCGATTCTCTATCCTCCACCATTCTGTCATTTTAGTAGTCTGCAGCTAGCCAGGCACCCTCATCACCTCTTCTGAAAGTCAGTATCAAGGAAACAGACTACACTCTTCCTATGCTGCCCCTCCTTAGTAGCAAAAGTAACAACTGCACCACAAATCAGTCATATTAGTTACACTACAATATTTTGACTGACTGCTCCATACTCCTATCTTTAAAGGAAAGGATCTTTTACAAAGACTTCAAACATTCACTACTCCAGTAGCGGATCATAATGGCTACCTCAGCTGTGTTATTCATCTCATTTGGGAGACATTAATTAGCACAGCATCATATCTTCACAATTATTGAATTTAATAGTTTGGTAACTCCCCCATATCATTACTAGGAGACTAACTATTTGCACACTTATAATCCATTATTATTTCATTAAATAAAATCAAAAACTACATTACTTCTTATTCATAACATTCTAAAAGTTAATTCCTACAAACACTTGCATGTTTATCTTTCAAAGAAGAAAACTCTTAAGGTTATTGCTGCTGTCAGGGTACAAAAGGGACACCACGGAGAAGCTGAACAACTCTTCAGAGTACTTCAGATAATTTCCAAGATTTCCTCACCCAAAAAAGTAGAAGATACATGCCTGAATGAACTAAACAGCAGTAAGTCACTGCTACAAAGGGATATACATATATCTACTTGCAGAATTTTTGTGTTTAGTTACTTCAAGTCAAACAAGAGTAAATGGATAAACTGGTCTCAGAGTAATGCCTTTTATCTGAAGAGGTAATATGACTTCACTCCCTCAGAACAGGATGAAATAGTCACAGGCTAACCCTTCCTCTTCAAGGGAAACACAAACACATTCGCAGTTAAAGCAGCAAACCTTATTTTATACAACAATATGTGGAATTTTCTAAGAAATTAAAGGATTAATTATTTACAAGCATGATACTATCCACAGTTACATTAGCCATGAAACAAACAGCAGACAATACCTTACACGCTGTGTGATACTGAGCAGACACCAATAGTTATTACAAGACAGTAAGTATTTCTTAAAAACAAAACCAATTTGTCAAGTAAGCCATGAAAGTATGACAACAACCCCATGGTTTTCCTCTAAAGCACTCACAGGGACACCTACCATGCCCTGTCCAGACAAAACTGATTTGATTCTATAAAGTCAAAGCTTAAAAACTAATTTTAAGATGAGATGTAGTTTATACTCTGGGTTCTCAGGTGGAAGAGAAAAAAAAAAAAAAAAAAAAAAAATCAAAGCTACCTAAACTGAAACATACTCTGAAGGCAAGCCCAGAACTCTGTTTTAAATACACAAAATAAAAGATCTGCCTAGGCTTACTACAGTAAACCTGAAATGCACATTACCGAACTTCAATGTTAACAAGCAGCATTTTTAAGTCTCCACATGTACATCTTCGTTTTAGATTGCATCTGTCACATTCACTTAAAAAGTCATATGAGCTGAAGTCTGATTTTAAGTGGCAAGAAACACACCAACATTCCTGTATTAATTCTTCTTTAGGGATGTCTTTCTCTCCATAAAGGGGGAGCCAGGAAGCTTTCAAACACTTCCTCCATGCCTTCTGTGAGATTGAGAAGTGACAGAGAAGAGCTTGAAGTTGCTCAGTCCCTCCCTCCCAAGAAACACCACATTTGTAAGCACTATCAGAACTTTCAGGAGAAGAGCACTAGTCTAAGAAAGAGCCCCTGCAGAGGCATGGAAGTAAGGCTTAAGAAACAAAACAGACCTGGAAGTCAAGACAACAAGAGAAACAAGCTCTAGCACTACCTTACAGTAGTACCAAGAAACCAGAACTATTACCTGTGCTGTAATAGCTACTAGTTCCCTAATCACATCACAGCTAGTTTTAAGTCTGCTTCTTCAAGTACTTACAAGCATGCAGACACTCAAATTGCTGTGGCTTAAAGACTATTTACTTAGCTTCTTGAGCAGACTTCACGGCTTCCACTGAACTCCATGAAGCCACACTAGTTTGATCAGCTCCGTAAGCTTCGTTTGCTGTTATGTGGGCATCTTGTTCAGACTGCTGATACCCTGTCTCACGTTATACATACACACACCCCAACTCACTAATTCATAAGTGATTCTCATGATCTCCAAGTAAGTTTCCCATTTCATAACTGCTAATTCTCTGCAGAGTTTATACAAACACCTAGTCTTCATATATGAGTATAGTTTCCTCACATCTGTTCGAAGTGATTTAATCACTACATGCTTGTAAGGTGTCATTATACAGTCTCCCACATAATCCCCTCTCTCTGAATTTTTAAAATGCCCACAGCATCCCTACTAATTTCAAGTATTCTGGCAGTGCCAAAGTAGGCACAAGCTGCTTCAATTAAAGAGCCTTTAGCACTACAAGCTGTACTACTACACTAAAATACTATGAAACATGTCAAGCAACTGAAGGGTTCAGTTTGTACTAGGTAGACATTAGTATTCCAGAAAGGGAGTGCACCATGGAAAAGTCAAAGCTAGCTAGAAAAAGGAGTAAGAAAATTAAGTTTCAGTAAGTATCAATACATGAAGTGACAAACCAACAAGCAAAAGTTTGTGATTAACACTTTAGGAACTGTGACAGCACCAGTTAAAAACCTTCTGAAGCCTTTAGAAAGCAAGTAAATATCCATATCGGCTTCACTGAAGTTTTACGCATCTCTTTTCCGTGGCTAAGCACTTATGTTTTGTCTGCTGTTTAATTTAAAAAAAAAAAAAAAAAAGACAGGTCTTATAAAATACGATCTCCAGAAAAGCTCTTCTCTATTTCAGTTGAAAAAAACTTCAGAGGTGACTGCTACTGTGAACTTGTTTGCTACTAGTAAGAATAATCACTTAACTGTTCTAATATTAGTCATTTATTTTTAGCAGAGAGAAAGAGGAGTGCTAGAATGACTTACTAAAATACATACCATAAGCATGCAGTAAGCAACAAATCACCATTGAGAACCATTAAGTCTTTTCAAATCTGCATACTACCCAAGGCAGGTAAAAGAAAAGCAGCTCTGAAGCACCTGCTGAAATACACCAGCTACATAGAGTACACAGGCTTACAGACTCTGTTTGTTTTGATCTCAGCTTCCTGAAGCCAAAACGCTCACCTCTCAACCGCAAAGTTACTGAAACTAGCCTAGCAAATTCTGATATAACTGAAGAAATTCGTGCCTGCACTATGCTGCACAGACCTCCTCTGCCTGTGGACTAGCAAACTAGCACAAAATGCCTCATTTTTGTTGAAGCTGGAACTCCATTACTATCACACTGAAAAGTTCATGAAAAGGGGAGTCTGGTGTTTTGTTGCGGGTTGTAGTGGATTTTTCTTGGTGGAGGCGGGGCTGGGGACTTTTTTCTTTCCACGCAGTTAGCATTATAAAATATACACTGATTGCATAGAAACTCGCAGTTAAAGCGAGCTCTTTCTTTTAAAGTTACCTCACAAACACTCAGTGTCCTTCGCACTATTAAGCTTCAAAGAGCTGAAGCAGCCCAAGACGATAACTGAGCCACAGCAGCCCGGCACGTAAAAGTTGAAATAAGTCTTCCAAAGGACGTACAGAGTCAGGATACTCTACTCCACCAGACGTCTTCAACTACACGTAAGACTGCTCAGTAAATTAGCGTTAATTTAGTCCCCGATGCTGAAAAGTGACGTTCTTAACTGAAAACGAAGTACCTATGGAGCATCCCTGCTACGCCTGCCCGGTGCTTCCAAGCCTTCCCCCACCCTCCCGAGCGCAGCGACGGGGGCGGGAGGTGACCGAGGCGAGCAGCCCCTCGGCCAGACCCCCGGCCGAGGGCAGGCGGGGGAGGGATGACAGCTCCCTCCCCCCCCCTCCAAGCCGCCCTTTTTGGCCGTCTTGCGGCGGGAGGGACGGAGCCCCGCAGCCGGAGCTCGCCCCGGGGAGGGAAGGAGAACGGGCGGCCCCCGGGGGAGGCGGGCGGGTGGCTGGCGGGCTCCTTCCCGCCCTCGCCCGGTCGGGGGCGACACCGGCCCCTTCCCGCCCCCCCCCCCCCCCCCCCCCCACACGAGCGAGGGGGCTCGGCCGGCCTGATCGGCGGACCCCAGACAAAGGAAGGAAGCGAGGACGAAGCGGGACAAGGAGGAGGAGGAGGAGGCGGCGAGCCCCGGCTCCCCCCCCCCGGGCGAGCGCGGCCGCCGCGTCCCTTTCTGCTCCGCCCGGAGCCAACTCCCGGCAGCGGGCGAAGGAACCCGCGGGTCGGAGGGCACCGGAGGCAGGCGGTGAGCGAGGGGAAAGAGGAGGGAGAAGCGGCGGCGGAAGGGAGGGAGGGAGGGAAGAGCGGGGCCGGTGTCTCACCAGGATCCGCTTGAAGAGGTTGCTCTCCTTGGGCGGCAGCGGCACGGACGGCATGGTGCGGGCGGCCCCCGGGCAGGCACGGCTGGAGAGAGGGGAGGCTGGCGGGGGTGGGCAGCCCGGCAGAAGCGGCTGCCGTGAAGGAGGAAAGGGAAGGAAGGAGGGAGGGAAAGAAGGAAGGAAAGCCCCGAACTCCGCGGGGCGGCGGCGGCGGCGGCGACTCCTTTAACTCATTGGCCTGCGCCGCCCTCCCCGCCGGCTCCCCTCCGCCGCTGCGCGCGAGCGCGGCCCCTCTGCGCAGCTGCCGGCGAGGCCTCGCCGCCCGCCTGACGCTGCAAAATGGCAGCCGGGGTCCCCTCCGCGCAGGCGCGACGGCGCCCCCCTCTCTCCCTCACACACGGGTGTCGTGTCCGTCCCCCCCCCCCCCCCGCTCCCTCTCCCCCTCCCCCGGCTCCTTCTGCGTCGAGCCGGGTGTGAGGGGGGGGATCTTCCGCGGGGCTCCCCCCCGCGCGTCTCCTCTCCCCGCCTTGGCGTGAGGGGAGGTTTTGTTGTTTGTCCTGGTGTAGCTCTTCCCTCTCGACTGAGGGGAGTTACCTGCTGCGAGGGCGGGCGACCCTCTCTGCAACGCTCCGCGGGGGTGAGGAGGAGGAGGAGGAGGAGGAGGAGGAGGAGGAGGAGGAGGAAGGGGGTTCCCACCCGCGGGGGTTGCTAACAAATAATAACTCCCACTCGCCCCAAGGTCCCAGCCGCGGCTGTTCCCAAGGGAAAACCGGGGTGCGGAGCGTTTCGCAGCGTTGGGCCTCTCCCCGGCCGCGGCTGGGAGGGCCGAAAGTCTCATTTGTGTGCTCGCTGTCCTGCTTCTCTGCCCCTGGTAACCTAGTTTTAATGGCCGTCGTCCCAACAGCTCGCTTAAATTAGTATTTTGGAAAGCCTGGCTGCCTGAAAGCCTGGGAGGTACTGTTGGAAGGGAGCAAAGCCTCTGTAAACTGCAGAGCTTTTGAGAGGCTGCGTGCTTGCTGTGCCCTGGCTGGTATTTAAGGAAACAACAGCAAACTTAGCCATCAGACTTTCAGCAAGTGGGGATGACATCTATTGCATTAATGCATTTTTCGGCAGTTGGTTATGTAAAACTTCCCAGCACTATGGTGCATGCTTAGAACAGTAAGCATTTTTTCATGGATTGGCTCCTTCACCAAAGGAGGTTTGAGGTCTTTTGAAAATATTTTTTTCTTATTGTTATTCCCAGAAATCGTTCTTAAATGAATCTTTGCAAAAATAAATAAATAAAATACAACACACACACCCCCACCCCCACCCCCCCAAAAAAAAAAAAAGCAACAACAAAAAACAACCAGAAACACTAAACCCACATGGCCTGGGGCATTTACTGAGAAGGAAAACTGTTTAAAATGTCAAGGTTACAACCAATTAAAAAGACAGTTTTACAGGGAAGCAAATTAGGCATCTTCAATTAGAACCTATGTTTATGTAATTACCCTTTAAAAAAAATATATTTTGTTGCGTTTTAAAAGGATATTAATTTTGTAATAATATGGTTATACACCTACCGTCCCAGATGATGAACATGATAGATAGCCACAATAAAGCAAGTGTGTGGAACATACTATATAACTAGAGCCAGTTAGAAAAGCTGCATGTTTACCGTATTTTATTTGGTTATACATAAAGTAGGTGACTATGTGACTGACTGAGGATCCCAAGCAGCATGTCTTTGACTTGTCACAAGACTTGCTAAAGCTGATGGACATGATAGCTGCTTTATTTTCAGCCCCAAAAGAGGGAAGAAGAGAGTGGACAGTTTCTTGGAAGAGAATAACCGGATGGTGGCCTAACTCGGGGACTACTAATTAGAAAAAAGAAAATGTGGTAGGCTTATGAAGCCTCCTGAGATGAAAATAGCAAAGGTGATGAAAACATTAAAGAAGTACAGTGTATGCTTTCCTAGGTCTTCTTAGCTGAGTATCGGTTTATGGCCGCTGATTTTGTGGATGGCATTTGTTTTCAGCATTGTTTTGTTAATCTGCATAGATGTATGGTCTGTAATGTTTCTTTGTTGAAGGAATAACTTTATTGTGTTTATTTCTCACTTTTTTATTCTGGCATGCTTCTATTGATGTCAGTCACCTGGATATCTAATAACAGTATGTGTATTTTTCACACGCTGTACCAAATTCACCCTTCTTTCTGCTACATGGTGTAGTACTGCTGTATTCGGTGTCTGATTTTTTTCAAAGCAGGAGCACTGTTGACAGGAATGGGCAACTTGACTTTGCCCTGCTGCATCAATTTTGGAGCCTGTTGGTACCACAGCATGTATTCAACACTTTTTATAACAAGCTGAAGCCCTGACTTTATGAACCCTAGTTTTCCGTCTTAGCAAAAGGCACCTTATGCCTCTGGTTGGGTTGAGTGATAAACATATGCACCTCTGAGATGGTCAGGCAAATACTGTGCTAGGTGGACCTTTGGTCTGAAGCAGTAAGGCTGTTCTTGACAGCTAAAGGTCTCTGTTTCCTGCTAGTCCAAATATTGGAAAGAATGCTGTCTGAAAATACTCAAATTGCAAATAAGAGGCAGAGGTTCAATTTGCATTTAGGCATGTGTCTGTATTAAAAATCTGTGTTAAAAACACCAAGAAAAGGAAAGCAAGGAGGCAATAAAAGAAATGTCTGTAGACTAGCTGGGAGAGAATAAACAAAGAAACGAGGTAAACAAAGAAACGAGCTTTGGGGGGAGGCAGAGCTCTAGTTGAAAGTGAGGTTTGGGAGCACAGTCAAGAAAACTTCTTGTCATTTAATCCCACTGTGCTGGGCAAAACAAAGCTCTTTCTACAGGCTTTGTTAATAAACAGGACTGTATTCAAGACGCGTATGATTCTGTCGACAGTTTTTCCTTCAAACAGAAAGAATTCAGAAGTCCGTTGACAAACTATTTGGGTCAAAAGAGGGGAGCGATATTAAAGTGATATATACATTATAATAAGCTTGTGATTTTGCCGTGACTCTCACTTTACTCTGTGACCTGCCGACATCAGTTGGTATCTGTGGAAGTTGTGGCATGGTGCTCTCAGATCACTCAACCTGGTTAGGGCCCCCTGATCGGAAAAAGGGCCTCCCTGTGGGCATGGACCTGCCCTCAAGCCAAGCGCATTGTAAGGCCTGGAGCCTGTTTTGTCTGATGAGCCATTTCTTTGCCTCGGTTTCTAAAGCAGTTGGCAGTTTGGGATTGCCAGATCTTAAAGTACAGGACGGCCATGTCTATCCTGAAGCCCTGATGCCCAGCTGTATTGCTGCTGTCACTCTTCCCTTTCCCACCCGATGTCCCTGTGGGCTGCCGTGGTGGCTGAGGAGGGCAGTGCCACCCTGCCCCAAGCAACTGCCACCTCGTAACAACCCCTGGTCCTCACCCCTGCTCCATAGGCAGCTGCTTCAGCCACGCAGGTTTTAAGGCATCAGAGCAAACAGCAAGGGGGTGGAAGCACAGACAGCAATGGGATTTCCCATCCCTCATACTCAATTCCCATATTGCATTATAAAAGCATACTGTAAATATGAGGAAAGAGTGTATCTTGCATGTTTTGAATATGAGATGCATGGACTAGGGACTGTGGTTGACAGTATAACTGGCAACCCTGCTGACAGTACAGAGTCCAGCCCTTGTCCTGGCCAAGCAGTCCCTGCGTGGTCTGCTGCCTGGTGGGGAGGGCTGAGAGTTTGTGAGTCTCTATTTTCACACTTAAGTTAAAGAACTCACCACCAAGGCATAATAAAAACTGAATCATGATCACTTTTCATCAGAGGATTTAATGTAAGAACTGTTACAGGCTGGAGTAGAAGCTGATTTGATTTTCCTTGGCCTATCTTCTTCTTTCAAAATCAATTTTTGAGTGCATGGTCTGCTTACAGTTTTCATGTTCTCATTAGCTTCTCGGTTATCCTCCCATCTTCCACCTTCCCGAGATTTTTAAGTATCAGATTGCGTATTTAGAGTCCCAATGCAAGGATAATTTTATTATTTAATTTCACTGAGGTCTAAGTCATAGTGGAAGAAGAGTGAGGCGTGGTGGGGACGGCGTGTGGATGATGGCATCTCTCACAGCGCAGCACTGCAGGCTCCGGCCTGGGGAAGCGCCTCTGTGGTTTCAGGGTGCTGTTTGCTGTGGCCCTTTTGCAGGTTGGATCAGCTCTGGGGTGGGTCCCATTCTCTAGCAAGGCCTTATTAATCTGTCTGCCTTGCCTTCTGTCCCCTGGGGATGGAGCAGAGCCAGGATCTGCCCTCAGATCTAAACAAGTGCTTAGTTGTCATTCATGTGCTGATGAGGTTTGATCCAAATCCTCAACTGATTAGTCTCATTTTCAGTCTTTTGGAATATTTACCTCCCCAAGACCCAGTGATGTTATATGTGCCAAATACCAAATTTTTACCTTTTTATTTTTTTTTTAATTCTGTTGAACGATAGTATCTGGGAAGATGGCTTTTTGGGTGATTTTATGTATGAAAAAATAATGGTACTTAAGTCTTTTTAAAATGCAAGTATAATTAAGGAGGTAGTTGTACAATCTGTTTTATATTACCTATTAAAATGTGCATATACAGAGTATGTTTTTGAACATACCTTATTAGGAAGCTGCAGGGTATTAGCATGATGATAATCTGAACGGTAATATTGATACAGGGCCTAGATAGGAACAGGGGATGTAAGGGTTAATATGGGAATAGCAAGAAGGGGATGACAAGGGAAATAGTTGAGATAACAGTTCTGCTTAATGAATGTTTTTAGTATTTTGTAACTGGTGTTTATCTTTAGTAGCATAGTAATAATTCATTTTAAATACAATTGAATAGTGAGCTTTGACAAAAAGTGGAACTTAACATTGTTTTATGCAAACTTCTCTGAAATTAATCTTTTAATAACTGGATTTGAAACGACATTTATTTTCAGCCAATGTTTTGGGAAAATACATGGAAAAGTGTATGTAATACAACAGCTTGGAAGCTGGAAACAGAAGTGAGTATTCCCATTTGTTGTTACCCTTGCCATTTCTCCCAAATGTTGCTGAAGTCAGAGTGTGTTACCGTGCAGCTGTGAGGAAGATATTGAAAACTAAGACCTATTCTTAAGGTCCCTTACCCCATTTTTTATTCCGGGGCCCGGCGTTTCGCCACGTGAAGCCGAGCCTGCCTTTACCGATCGCGTTGCTCGAGCGATGCTCGGTGGCGGTAGCCCCGTGCCTCCCTGGGCTGGCCGTGCCGCGGCAGGCCGGCAGGCCGCGCGGGCCTGAGCTGAAGCACGCCGGGAGTTGTGTTTTTTGGCAGGCATGCTGGGACTGGGAGTTTTTCCGCTCTGCTTCCCGTCTGCCACGGCCTCGTGTTTCGAGGCAGGATCTGTCTGGCGGCGAGCGACGTGTGCCGGCGGACGGTGAGTGCCAGAGCTCCTCGATGGGTGCTGGGGAACGGAGCCCCCCGCACCCCTCGCGGCCGCACGACCTCTCGCTCCTGCCTGCTCCTGCCTGCTCCTGCCTGCTCCTGCCTGCTCTGCGGCCCTGCCTTCCCCGCCCACCCCTAACCCCTGCCGTGGGGTACAGGGGACCTCACGCGCGGCTTTCGGGGGTTCTGCTCAGGTGGCTGTGGTGGGAGGCAGAGTTGTATGAAAGGTGGCCTCGGAGGCACGGCCTTGAGCTGTTCCTGTTACAACATGCACGGAAATACACACTCCTTCCGTGTTCTTACATACTATTATGTGTCTGAATTTGGTTCCATGGACTTAATAGCATCTTTGATTGTTAGAAATTATCTTTAAAACCTCTTAAAGTGTTCACAATATTGATAAGTCTTTCCTGTCAGGAAATGATAATATTATTTCTTTTTGTTATTTTAATAAGACAATTACAGCTGTCACTTTTGCTTACTGGTTTTGATTTCTGATGTGCATGTGGTAATTTTGTCACATAAAGTTATTAAAATCTGGTTTGGAAAGCAGTTAATAGGTTATCTACTGCTCATAGCTCTGTAAAAGTTTTATGCGTGCTTATTTCTGCACAAATGTAACATGGCAACATCTCTTCTGAAAAGGAGATACCTTTTTTGTTTAAAATAGCAAAGTTATTTTGAAACTTCTGTCTTTGTTGAAAGTTTGAGTCATGTCATTACTTAGGGTTTTTAGGCATTTAAAACCAGTAATTTTATTTCTGAGAGCTTAGGCAGAACAAAACTACAACTCTGTTATTATTTGAGTATATTGCTTCTTAACTACACCAGTAAAAAATGAGTAAGGTGGTTATAATAAACATATTTAATTAATTAAAATAGAAGATAGCAATATTTTTAAAATGAGTTAATCATGGTTACCACTTGAACAAACGACAGTGGGCCATGCTGATCTGGAGCAATTCCTGTGTCATCATCAGAATTAGATCTTTTGGAACTGAGTCTACACACGCCCCTGAGCAACTAAGTCCAGGATTGTAGATGATGAGCCAGATTTGTGCCTTTTGCTGTGTTCCTGGTGAAGGGAACATAATCCCTCTGCTTACAGCTGTTTTTAGTCACTAGAGCCATCCACGAGCAGTATCGTTGGCTTTCTGTAAATTAAAGCAGACCTGAAGTTGCTGCTGGGGGTTCAGTAGCATCTGCTGGCTGTGGCATCTGGGGAAGGTACAGAAATAGAATAAAGGTCTTCCCTCCATCTGTAAGTAGTAAAACAGACATCCAGGCAAGCAAGACGTAGTACTTTTGGTTTTACTGCATATTGCTGTTTCTTCTTTGTGGACAAATGGATGAAAGTAAAGAGGTGAGGATAATGGATGCATTGAGTAGTTAGAATGTTATAGTAATTTGTTAATGTATGAAGATGCACAGAAGGTCTCGTCACTGATGAGTAAAAAATAACTGTGTCAGAAAAGTGTATGTTTCAAGGAGATCCTGTTGCAAAAGTTTCACGCTCTCCTTTTCTCTGAATCCACTTTTTTTGTAAAAAGCAGTAGATATGGGATTGTGGCACTGGCAGAAATACTAAAGAGTGCTTCTTTACTTGTTAAACCTTTTCTGTGTGAGTAGTCCTAGAATACAAATGATTTCAATCTATTCCTCTCGGTAGACCCTTGCACTCCAGTATAAATTTTTAGAGCATAATAAGAATTCATAACATAGTTTGCAATGTTGATGATATAAAATGAAGAGGAAAAGATCTTTCCTAGAGCAACAGTGATGCTAAGGGGAGCCTGTGTCCAGCAAAACTGTGGGCCAAGCATGGGGTCCTCAGCTGGACTGAGGCCCTGGGAAGGGACGACTTCGACCTTGAAAGGATTCCAATCTACCCCTGAGAGAGCAAACAAGAACAAGAGGAGCTGCAAGATGAGCAAGCTTATCGACCACAGTAAGAAAGCATAACAACTCTGAACCAATAAGAAAAGAGACACATCAGAAGAACTGATAACCCCGTATTTGGAACTAGTTTTAGGTGGATAGAGATACTAGAAAGCTTGGGAGCCTGAACTTTTGAACTTTTCATCTTATTACGCTTGCGTGATGAGCTTATGCATATTAACTTCTCCACCCTGCCAAGAGCCAGGGTTCATTTCCATGAACGTGATGTATGAACACATACATGAAGGGGCGTGTCGGTAGGCAGTCCGGAAAGTCTGTACTCCCTGTAGTAAAAGTAAAGGAACAAAGGAGGCGAGCAATAAAGGTTTTTAGGCTTTTGGCTTTTTGTCTTAACTTGTCTTAAAGAAGAATCTGTCTTGTAGTTTTGTCCGTCTTGACCTTAGTTTTGTCTGTCTTGACCATAGTTTTGTCCATCTCGAGCGTGACAGCCAAGTGTCTCAGAAAAATACAGGAGTTACATTTCAGAGTAATTCTTACTCAGGTTTTGAGTGGAAAATATTTAAGTCATATGTGAATGTATTATGGGAAGTAGTAGTACACGGGACATAAAGCACTGCTGCCATGTTTTACATAGTACATATATGGGTGAGTAATTTCTTGCAAGTGTATTGTACTCCCATTGATGAGTCTGTTGCGAGGGCAACTCAATGTTACTAATGTTCTCCTGCCAAAGTGATATCCTGTTATGGTAGTGGGTATAATTTTGCACATAATTCTGGACATTTCAGGCATTCTCTACGTAGAATTCTGTACCTCTAGTATAGATTTTTCTTCTCTCAGCAATGTTTTGCTTTTGCCAGTAAGGCATGAAATGGTGGGATTTTTCCACTGAGACATATGGGAAAATGAAGCTGTTGTCTGTAAAGCCACACCTACAGTACCTTTTCCGCAGCATAAATAAACCGAGGAGGTGAGGGAAGAGACCTTTTCCAACCCTCAGTCAGTACAACGGTGCTCATGAGAGTTTCTAGTTTAAACCAGGACTCAAACTGCCATGACAGTTGCATTTGTATTGGTGTAATCAAGAATAGGATTTGGGCTTGATACAGCTCTTGTGTGTGATTTTGGTTTTGTTTTTTTTAACAGAATGCTTGCTTTTTCTAAAGAATAACACTGGTCCATGTATTGTCTACTTTTAATTTCAGGTAGTGGGAAAATAAGAAACAAAATGAAACCTTTCCAAAGTGTCTGTCTTCTCAAGAGCCTGCTTGCCAATTGCTACTGTCACGGTCAACTTCACAGCTGTCTTCTCCATCCTGTTGCAAAGAAGATAGGTTGTGTGGTGGGACTGCACAACTCTGGAATTTGGAGGCCAAAATCTTTACTGGACACAGCTAGATTCACTCTGTCTTTTAACAGTTGGCATAGAAAAAAACATCAGGATATTCAAGCACTGTGGAAGCATGAGACTGTGCAGAAGTATCTGGAGACTCTGAGCAAGGAATACCAGCAGGTTAGTCATCTGTTAAATGCTGATGCAATAAACAACTTTGAGCAAAATACCCTGAGGAGAAGATGGGCTGATCTGTCCCCCATTGCAGCTGCATTTCAAGAAGTCAGAGAGGCTGAAAGAGAAGTTCAGGAGTTAGAAGCTATGTGCAGAGGTAAGGAGAACACATCTACTTACTTGTTTCAAAATAGTAGCTTTGCTTGCGATAAACTTAATTACCCAGCCTTTGAGGAATGCTTTTAAGTAAGTTAAGCCAGACCTGGAACAATCTCTGGTCCTGCCTGCTCCTGGGACCCTGTGTGCTGCTCAGGCTTTCTGCATCCAGCGACATCCTTCCATTTTTCATCTCACCTGACTTCAGTCTGAGATCTTAATACATACAACTTGGGAGAGTAGGGAACATCTGTAATCTCAGGGCTATCCACCTAGCAGAAATAGTTTGGAAATGTTTGGTTTACGGTTGTTTTATGATAGAACTCAGTGCAGTGTGAACTGAAGGAAAAAAATTTAGGGAGCCTAGTACATTTCATAGGTGAGGACTTCACCCATGCTATTTAAAAGGGAATTCCATCTAGCCAGTTGTCGTGGTTTGAGCCTGGTCAGCAGCCCAACACCACACAGCTGCTCACTCCTCCCTTCTCTTCCAGTGATGAGAAGGGACAGATGAGCCAGGCTTGGTATTCAAGATAAGACCGGGAGGGGCAGATCACCCATTATGGTCACGGGCAAAAGGCAGACTCATTAGGGGAAGAAAAAAAGAACATACATTTATTATAGACACTAACAACACTTAACAGAGTAAGACAGTGAGAAGCATTCCCACATCTTGAGAACACCTTCCCCCCACCCCTCCCTCCTTCCCGGGCTCAGCTCTGCTCCCGATATCTCTACCTCCTCCCCCAGTGGCGCAGGGGCAGGGAATGGGGGGTGCAGTCAGCGCTGCCACTTCCTTCATCTTCAGTGGGGGGAGCTTCTGGAACTTGTTCCCCCTGCTCCATCGTGGTTCCCCTCTCACAGGAGACAGTCCTCCACAAACTTTCTCCAACGTGAGTCCCTCCCACGGGCCACAGCGTTTCCTTACACTGCTCTGGTACGGGTCACCAACTTTCTCCGACTGGATTCCCTCCCACGGCTGCAGCCCTTCCCAAGCTGCTCCGGCGTGGGACACCCCCGCATGCTGCAATCCTCCCAGCGCTGAATTACAACAGCAGGGTCTACCTTTTCCCACAAGACCCCGGCCTTCTTCGGGCATAGCACCTTGATCTTCCAGATGAAACACCTCACAGGCCATAAATCAGTGTCTGCTCCACCGTAGACCTCCATGGGTGGCAGAGGGGGCCGCCCTGCCGTCTCACCACAGGATACAGGGGGGTCTCTGCTCCGGCACACCTCCCCCCTCCTTTCTTCCTTCATTCCTCCACTGACCTCGGTGTTCACACACGTGGCAACTCCTCCTCACCAGTCCCACTGCCCATCACCACGTCCCTTCTTAAATACGTTATCGCAGAGGCGCAGCCGATTGGCTCAATTTTGGTGCAGAGGTGGAGCTGACTTGGAGCCAGGGGATCTTCGAGAAGCTTCTCACAGGAGGCTTACAGGGTTCTCAAACCCAGGACACCAGTTCACTGGTCCTTACCAAGCAAATTACATGAACTTTCATTAGGCTCTGAATTGTCAACTTCCAATTTAAATGGCAAAAGCTAATACTTCTTTGAAAATATTTGAGGAGTCCTTCAAGGAATAAAAATTGATGGTTGTCTGAGAAACAGCTGGTTTTCAATACTCCACTACAGTAGAAGATGGGGTAAAAAATAATTAAAAATTGTTACTATTTTTGATGCTGTTCAGGAATAAGTAATAAATACGTGGGCAATAAAAGAATTTACAAAATAACTGGGTGACATTTTGAGAAAAACACATTGTTAGAAGTGTGAGGAGGTGCACACAGTAGGAAAGAAAAAATGTCACCCATTCTACATTGATAGGTGTTAAGCCAAGAGAGGGAGACATTGGCCTAGAGAGAATGGGGCTTACATTAAAGAAGTGAAGCAAGGGAGAAGCAGAGGACAGGAGAAATGGGTAGCTGGCAGTGTAAATGGAAGATGAGGAAAATTCATGGTGCTTTTCAGAGAGAGAACCAAGGAGTGTTGACAAAACAGTAAAAGCGATACTGAAATTAAGCTGGTAAAAAAGTAACTTGTTTAGAAAGGTAGGAAACATTTGTGTTCTTTAGTGTTAGAAATAAGTAGGTGTTTGTACCTTTGGAAAAAATTGTGGTTATTGAAAATGTTTTAATCTCCAATCCTTTCAAGTTCTCTTCTCTGAAGAAAGGAAAAGGAGTGAAGGTGAGGAGGGACAAAAATTTAACACTGAAAAAGAAATGTTATTGGAAGAATTAGGAAGTATTAAGAAAACACTGGAAAATTTATACTTTAACTTAAAAAGGCTATTTTTAGATCAAGTAAATACAACAAAGAATTTTTCTAATTCCATAGATTATGGTGTGGAAGAATGGAGTTGTAGATGAAAGAAGGCAAAAGAAGATAATGAAAGAAAATTACAGCCAAGAAGTTAATTAAACGAGGCCAAATTATTCCATCTATACTGTTTATTGCATGGCTAAGTTACAACACAGTTGTTCAATTTGACTGCTCTTTCTTTTCTGTTTAGCTTCCTAACTGACCCTCTTCTCTGTAGTACCTGAATTCCTCACAGCTGCTATAGGATTTTATATTTGCAACACTCAGTGAAGCAGAAAAATATTATTTCTCAGTTTGCCACTGGTAATGTGAGTCACAGGGTAGATTAAGTGAATTCTTAAAGGTCAGGTTTGCAGGGAGTTAGAAATGGGACACCAATGTTATGAGCCTTAAGCTTGTTGGTCACCACCAGACCATTCATTCTTCTCTGCTGACAGTAATTAATTTGATACTGTTTATCTAACTAATCAATAATGAGGGGGTTTGGACCATCTAGAAGCCTTTGACTCAGTACCAGCTCTGGGTTGGAGTTATGACGTATTGGTAGGGAAATTTATACAGTTCTTGCCTTATGTACACAGGATGCCAGGTTCAAGTGTTGATCTGACATCTTTCATTCACGGAAAAAAACCTTCGGCGCATAAATTTAAAACTGTGATGCAGAGGATCTGCTGCTGTCCTTGCCCGTTACACAAAGCTGATTCAACATCAGCCCGCTGGGTTCTTAAGACTCGCTGCTGAGGCCGCCAGTAAATGTGTGTGTGTGGTAGCTGCTGTGAACGGGAGCCAGGCTCCGGGTGCCCGGCGGTGCGGAGCCCGCGGTCCTTGCGCCTGCCTTTGAGATACCAGATTCCTGCTGCAGAATCCCGAGCTCAGGCGATTGATTGGTCATGCAAGGCGAGGAGATGCATTCCGCTCTTGCGTGTCTGGTTTTATGGTGCTCCTGAAGTAAACCTATGCTTTCCATGCTGGCCACAAGGCATAAGATTTCTCCTCCTCTTCGTTGCTTTCTTCCCTCACTCTCGCTCCCAGCTGTTCAAAGCTGTCTACCCCATTTCCCCCATTTGTGCTGGTAATTGTCCAGTTTTAAATTAAATCTAGTTCAACTTGGCGTGGTAAAATACATGCATTTCTTTAACCAGGACCAGACGTGTTTTTTAATTTCGGTATGTTGCATTGGTTTACTTTCTGATGGCATGAGTGGCAGAGCCACTCCTCAGCTGGTAGAACAGTGGGAAGAAAGATGAAAAGGAGAGGGTGCTCCCTATTTTGGCAATGACAGGTTTTCCGCTTGACTCCCAACTGTCTTCCAAGTTGCTACTTGGTATATAATCAAATGCTAACTGATCAGAATCTTTAATTATTGTAAACTGGAGCTTCCATAGCAGAAAAGGTTTGAAATTTCTGCTAACTTTACCTGAGAATGTTTCCTACTATGGTAGTAAGCTCTAAAATGTGGGAAGGGGCAATCTAATTACAGAATCATCAAATAATTTAGTTTGAAGAGGACCTCTGAAGGTCATTTTGGTCTGATGTCCTGCTCAAAGCAGGACCGGTTAGAGCAAGTTTCCCAGGGCCTTGTCCAGTTCAGTTTGGAATATATCCAAGAATAGAGATCCTACAGCCTCTCTGGTTGCCTGTTCCAGCGTCTGACCACCCTTAGAGTGAAAGTGGTTCTCTTAATACCTAATCAGAATTTCCCATATTCCAGTTTATGTCTCCTTTTATTGTGATGTACAGAGTCTGTCTCCATCTTTTCGATGTCTGTCTGTTAGGCAGTTGTACACAACACTAAAACCTCCCCTACCCCTGCTTTTCTTAAGGCTGCACAAACACAGTTCTCTCAGCCTATTCTCATACGTCCTTTGCTCCAGCCCGTGACCATCCTGGTGGTTCTCAACTAGATTCACTCCAGTATTTCTGTGTCTTCCTTGTACTGGGGAGTTCAAAACTGGACACGGTGTTCCAGATTGTGGTCTCGTGTGCTGAAGAGAGGGGAAGGGAATCTCTGTAAACAAAGGTAAAGAGTCCAAGTGAGGTCGCCCAGGCACGTTTCTGACGTATTTTGTCAAATCCGTTTGTGGATTTACCTCTGGACTGTCAATCCGTGTGACATAACCATCAGAATAACTGAGAGTAACTGTCAGGTGGGACTGGCATCTACTGGATGCTGACTTTGAACCATAAGGTAGAGATCGAAAGGTAAGATATTCACTACTCCTTCCAGCACACCTGAAAAATACAATCATTTAGTTAGCAATATGCATCCTGGCTTGGGCTGCTCTTATTTGTTATTTCATGCTGTCAAAATGCAATTGCAAGCTTTTATGTGCTGTGATGCATGTCTCTGGACAGCTGTATTACAATTTGCTCTAAGCTAGGTGAGATTGGCTAACATCTATTCCTGTTGTTGGAATTTAGAACTAGGCAGCAGAGATGAGAAACAACTTCTAGAGCTTGCCTTAGAAGAGAAGGAAGGCCTGGATAAAAAAATCAACATGTTGTGCAGAAAGGTGAGCCTGAGGTAAAATTGTACAGCTTTGTAAATAAAGATGTCAGAAAAATGTTTCTTTGTTATCTTACCAATAGACCCTGATGCTTGTGTTTAATGAAACAGAAGTCCAGCTTCTGTATTCTGCCTGAAAAGAAGTGGCAACATTAGTTATTAGTAAGCTTCTTACCGACAATTGTGTCTCAGAAGCTTATTATTTTAGTCATTTTTGCTTGCCTGCTTGTCTGTTTGCAGATGCTGAAGGGGATTAAAAAAGCAGTGAGTCTGTGCTATTGAGACCTGACATGACATCCTAGTAACTGTTTGTGGCAGCAGAGCATGCATTCTTGAAAGATTTCTGACTGGAACTTGCAGTCTTTTCCTTTCTCTTCAGCTGACAGCACCCCATGAGTGGGGAAATTAATGATAAGCAGAGAAGCTGAAATGATTCAGTGAAGAGCTCTGTGTTTGGGCTTATTTCTGTGTTCAGATTGATATAATACGAAATGGAACATTCTGAAAAAGAAGATGAATGTAAAGATTGGCTGGGTTATAGCTAATAAACTTTGTGTTCGTAGGTAGTTGGGGCTGGAGCAGGTGACCTGCCACCTGACTTTGCAGGATCGAATTTTCAGCTAGCTTTCCTGGGGATGCAGCAGCGTATCCCGTTGCCACATTGACTGCACTGAGTTGCAATGCCCATTGGACAGTTTTTAGTCCTTTACGAGTTTGCCAAAAGAAATCAGTGGTTGTGTGCGCTTAAACTGTGGCAATTCTGAAGGCTGGTTGTAAATTTAAGAGAAGATACAGAGTCATGAAGGAGATAATGACAATTTTTTTTTTTTCTTTTTCCCTTTTCAGCTTTTCCAGCTTCTACTGCCAAAAGAAAAATATGATAGAAGTCATGTCATATTAGAAGTGACAGCTGGCAGAACAACTGGAGGTCAGCAAGGTCCCCACAGAAAAGATTATTTCAAACCTCCTTCCGACTTTATTAAACCTGTTATGGATTATGCCTAATGCCTTTTTATACTTTAATGGCATAAAATAATACTTTCTAAAGAAGAGTATTAATCTGTCTAATGACTGAGGTTAGAGTTGCAGCTAAACCTGAAAAATGGTGGCTGCCATTTTGTGACCTATTTATGTTGTAGCACGTTTATATTTTTAGGAGACATCTGCCAGCAGTTCACAAAGGAAATGTTTGAGATGTACCAGAACTATGCAGACTATAAACGCTGGACCTTTGACATTGTGAACTATATGCCAGCTGAGATAGGTACAGTAGTTCTTCAGACACTACAGCAAGTGAATGCAATTAAAACTAGTGTTTCTGTGCTATATTTGTCACACATTATTTGTCTCCCTAGGTGGGTTGCATCATGCCGCTGCTCATATTTCGGGAGATGATGCCTACAGGCATCTGAAATATGAAGGAGGGACTCATCGAGTCCAGCGAATCCCTGAGACGGGCCTGTCATCCAGAATGCAGCGTATTCACACTGGGACAATGTCAGTTATTGTCCTCCCTCAGCCAGAGGAGGTAAAGTAACTGTTAATCAGGGTGGTAAAGCAGCCTATCCCTGCTCACCCATTTTGGCATTGGAGTAGGTGTTATTTAAAACCACGTTACTGTTACTGTTTGGGGATTTTATTGATACCCAAGTACTCTGTGCAGGTCGCAGCAAGTTTAACCACGAGTTCTCTGACTCTGAAAGGTGATAGTCCTTGCTCTGTGCTTTACGTGTTTAAATGGGTCGCCGGAAGCAACTTTGCAGAGATTTGCTATTGCCTGAAATGGCATGTAAATCAATGATCATTTCAGTGAGTATTCCAGCCCCAACATTCACAAAGTTGATTGCTATGAGTAAGTGTCGTGGTTTAACCACAGGCAGCAGCTAAGCACCACGCAGCCACTCGCTCACTGCTCCCCCAACCCGGTGGGAAAAGCTGAGAGAATTGGAAAAGAAGGAACACTCGTGGGTTAAGATAAGAACAGTTTCATAACTAAAGTAAAATATAACAATAATAGTAGTGAAAAGGAATATAACAACAAGAGAGAGAAATAGAACCCAAGGAAAGACAAGTGATGCACAGTGCAATTGCTCACCACCTGCTGACCAATGCCTGAGCAGTGATCTGCCGCCCCGGCCGACTCCCCCCAGTTTATACACCGGGCATGACATTCTGTGGCACGGAATATCCCTTTGGCTAGCTCGGGTCAGCTGTGCTGGCCGTGCCCCCTCCCAGCTTCTGGTGCACCTCCTTGCTGGCAGAGCATGGGAAGCTGAAAAATCCTTGACTTGGGATAAGTGGGATGTAGCAACAACTAAAACATCAATGTGTTACCAACGTTATTCTCACACGAAATCCCAAACCCAACCCTGTACCCGCTGATAGGAAGAAAATTAACTCCATCCCAGCTGAAACGAGGACACTAAGCCAATTTAAAATTACATCATGTATTAAGGTGGGGAATATATCCAAGAAGATATTCAGTGTTGCATAGTAATGTGATTCTGCAGGTCCTTTTGGTTTTTTTTTTGATATCATTTAAATTATTGATGTCCTTCTCTGCTAAATCAAGGACAGACTGCTTTGAATTTGAATTAATGTGTTGGCTAGTCTGTCTGAGATCTCACTGATAGCAACAGTTCTCACTTAAACCAGCAATGTATACACAAAATACACAAAAACAGACCCTGTAGGCTTTCCCTGCATATTCGCCTGCTTCCTTGTAATGCTTTCTTTGCAACACTGGTCAGATCTGACTGTTCCTTTCCCACCCGCTGAGCTCAAACTGTGGCCCAGGTCATCATGGACTCCTATTTTCTATGCTGCAATCCTTGCTTGGATCTGGATACACCCATTTTTTTCTCAGTTAGATGTTTTTAAGCACTGTTGCAAGGATCATTCAGGCTTGACTCATGAACAAGATTCTTGCACTGTTTTTTAGAAGTAGTTTTTGATTATTTGCTTAGTTATTAGTCTGTCTGCCAAAGCTAATGGTTTTACAAAATGTTTTCTTTTTTGTTGTTGGACACGCACACATACCTTGTTTTGTGAAGGACCTGGAGTGAGAGTTTGAAAAAATAAGTGTGATATTTAAAGCATCACTTGCTTTTCAGAGAGACTTGACACTGCATTTTTAAAAAGTATAATAATTATAGCTGTTACTCAGGAACATTTGTAAAGGAACAATTTTTTGAGAAGTGTTTTTTTTTTTTTTTACACTGAGTATCATTGACATTCATATATTTATAGAATGAGGAGGAAGTAGTAATTTTCTTTGATTCTAGGTTGATGTTAAAGTGGATCCCAAAGATTTGCGTATAGATACGTTCAGGGCCAAAGGAGCAGGAGGGCAACATGTTAACAAAACTGATAGTGCTGTGAGAATTGTACACCTCCCCACAGGTAAGTCTGGCTCTATTTTGTACTTCTAATCCCCCTAAATCTGTGTCCTGAAGAGGAAGCTTGTGATCCTGCAAGTTGTCTCTTAGAGTAAGTCTGCAGGGTTGAGCCTTACACCAAAAAAAGGAGTGGCCCCTTCTGGTTCTGCCCCTCTTCTAGCAAGGTGACGTGCGAGAGAAGGGGGTACATCCCAGTGGCACAATGCTCAGCGAGTTGCTGTTAAGCCAGTTTTGTCCCCAGGGGTGGTGTTTAACGAACACGCTGTCTCTGAAGGATGAAAGAACAGATGGAGAGTGACAGGGATGGGATGAAAGATGTGAATAATTTGTGCTGGTTGCTCTGTACCTTCATGAATAATGGCCATTGGCAACCAAGGGTGCAGTTTGCCTAGCTGGAACCTGTGTAGTATGTGACTGGGAAAGGAGGCCTGAAGATTTTCATTCGGTGGGAGATAATGCTATCAGATGTTGAATAGGAAGGCAAATGTATACTGATGGGAAGATAGTGTAAAAAAAGATAGTGTATAGGACCACTCTGTCAGGATTCGCTTCTACTGAAATTCAGTGGGCTTCCATCTGCCCAGATGCAGAATCGCTTTAGGCACAGGAAATTCCAGTAGTGACCTGAAAACAATGGTTTCCTATATGCCTTTTTGTTTCAGAAATCAAATGAGAAGCAAAAATAAGTACTAAATTTCTTCTGAAGACCTTTATTACACTTTATTTCATTATTCATAATTAAGTTTAAAACTTGCCAGTATTGTTTAGACACTGTTCTCTGCTAGATTAATGAATTTTCTAGTCTCCAAGAGCTTAGTCTAGAGACTAAGACTTTGACAGCTTGTGTTACACTGTTTTAAACATGTTTCTGTAGACTGTGCAAATTAAATTCTTAACATGTGATAGCTAATTGGACTGAACCTGTTTTCTGGAGGCAATGCCGGAAACTTGTTTGCTTCATGAAATTTTAAAATATCCCTGACTCTTCTGTGGCACTGAACAAAGCCCCTGGTGCAGCCGTGAAAAGTTTAAAAACATACTAATGGTTCTGGCCAGTGTTAAAATGACTTTTTATCCTACAGCAGAAAGGCCCTACAAACCAGCACTCTAGAACGTTTCATTTGCCTAATGTGTTAGAATTAATTTAGCTTGTTTGTTCTTTGTTATAACGGGGTTTTGATCTGAGCTCTCTCGAATCCCTCTGTGAAGGACTAACAGTTGAGTGCCAGCAGGAGCGATCACAGCAGATGAACAAGGAAATCGCTCTGCGGACACTGAGAGCAAAGCTGTACCAGCAGGTCACTGAGAAACAGCTAAGTCAAGAGCAGAGTGCCAGAAAACTGCAGGTGGGAACGTGTGATTGCTGAAGGTTGGAGAGGGTGTTACGCTGTAGATTTGCTGCTGATCATTTTGGGTGAGGGTGACAGAGCAAGTGAGTGTGTCTGTCTAACCTCGTGTGCTTACAAAAGAGAATTCTGTATTTTAAAATGGTAGGTCTGATTTTTACTTATCTATCTCAGTTCAGTGCTATTGTAGACTTCTCAGGCAGTGAAAAAGAGATATCAACTGTAGCTGGAAAGAAAAGTTAAAAGACTAGCTGGAATTATCTAAAAAGCAACACTCAGCATCAGGTACCGAATCACCTTGTGAAGGCCGGAGTTACACAAGTAGAGCATCAGTAAAAAGCTATTTTCCATGAAAACTAGGATCAAAAGTTCTCGAAGTTGTATTTTAACCTGCTTCTAAACCAGAGTATTTGGTAAGACCATAGAGAGCTTTTGAAAGAAACGACTATATAGACAATCCTGCCACTACACAGTCAGGTGGCAGTTCATTTGATATGGTTTAGGTAACCTTTTAAGGAAGAAACAGCTTCTATAAAAGGGTTACCTCAAATTATGCTGCAAAGTGTGCTTTTCTCTTGAAATGTTCTATCATTCTTTTCTCATTCTATGAGTATATTCCCATTTATGGTGCGAACGTCAACAGTGATTGACAGGAATAAAAATACTTCTGAATTACAGAATTACTCAGTACTCCAAAGTTCCCAGCTTAGCTCTTTAAACACTAATTTTAGGTTGTATTTAAGTGTGTTGTTCCTGCAGATTATTAACCCAGCCATTGTAAGCAGTGAGCCATTTATCTTTTGTTATTAATTTCAGCTTGAGAGCCTTCAAAGCTACATAAAGGACTTAGGTGTACATTTATATGAATACTACAGAAAATCAGGCAAAAGTAAATTACCTTTCCTAATGTTTAAGAATTTATTCAATTAATTCCTTATTTTGAAATATACATGTTGGGTGCAGATGAAATTTTCAAAAAAATGCCATCGAAGCAGACACCTTAAGCAGTTTTTAGCACTTAATTCTCCATTTTAGTAGAGCAGTTAACCACACAGCAATGCTGCATTTAGTTTTCTGTTTTAAAACTTTCAGAGTTGCGTGCACTCTTGCACTGTACCACTAGAGGACTACTCTTCATATTCTTAATTTACTCCTCTTTCAGTGCTTGTTTCCGACAGCCAAACGTTACTGGAAATGGTTTGCCACACGTCGACTGTGCTGCTTCTGTTATTAACAGTGACTACTTTCATTATTTTTTGTGGGAGCTACAACCCCCCCAAAAAGAAAACTATCTTACAGTTTTGACCTAAGGACTTGTATAGACATAGCATCTCTTGCCTTACATGACTTTTGAGAGTTGGATAGTTCGTCGAGCTATAGAGCTGGAACAGAAATGTACTGGAGGATGTAAAAACTTGATCTGTGATACAAAATCACAAATAATAAAGTTTAGTAATGCCACAATATTTAAAGAAAGCCGTACAGTAAGCCAGTGACTACTAGGTTTGTACTTGGAACAGGCTGATCCATTAAATGTTTTAATTAGTCCATTATAAAAATAAATACATTAGATTTATTACTGGATCCATTAAAGTTTATTATTATTAGGTATGCTGGTTTAGAGTGGTATTTAGTTTTTTATTTTTTTTGAACACAATACAATAGAATTTGTTTTTTGCTGCTTCACTACAGTTGGGAACAAGAGCCCAGTCAGAGAGAATCCGTACTTATAACTTCACCCAGGACAGAGTCACTGACCACAGGATCTCCTATGATGCACGTAATATCAAGGTAACGGTTGCTGAGGAAGTTTTTAATGTTAGATACTTTTGTGTACCGTAAGAAGAAAAAATTAACTTAGTGTAAACAATTTAATATATATGAGAAAATCAGATAACCAGTTGTGCTCTGACAGAACATTGTAGATTTAGAAAGCTTAGACTTTCTTTCCTGCCCTGTTGTAGAGTAGTGGTAAAGGGGATTGGCACAGGGTGTAACTCACTGGCCTACTTCTCTGCATGTTTTTCCCCTACTATATGAGTGCAGAATGATCAAGCATGTAGTCCTCAGTGAACTCCGTGAGTCCCTTGGCCAAACCAGGCAAGGGACTTTTGATTAGTACATCCAAAAGAAAAACCTGACGTGAAGGACTTTTTTTTTTTTTGGTTTGGTTTTGGTTCTGGTTTTGTTTTTGTGGGTTTTTTTTGTTTTGTTTTGTTTTTTTTTTTTTGTTTGTTTGTTTGTTTTTTGTTTTTTCTGTTTTTGTTTAGCCATTCTTTCCTCCTTCTGATGTCGGAGTGAAGAAAGAGAAGAACTTTTATGTTTGCTTTGCAGGCCACAGTTAAAAGAAACTGAAACCAAATGCTTTCATTTTAAGATTACCTGAGGTCTTCATTCTGAGTAAATCTCTACATATGGCTTGAATTTATTTTTTTTTTTTTTACAGGGAAACAAATACCTAATAATGCATTTTTGCGTATTACACTTACAAAAATGTTTTGAATTTTAGGACATGGTTTAGGGTGACCCTTCAATATTTTGCCTTAGGTATCTAGTTCACTGTAAGTGCTGTCGCATAAGGAGCAACGCTTTTTGCACCGTACCCACGGGTGTCCTGGGTAACTTCAGAGAGACCAGGGCATGGTGAACATGGAGTGGTTCATATTTAATACAGCGGGGAATGTATACACCAATACAGTGGAGGAGGAGAGTGGGAGGAAGTTCCACAGTGGCATAAATACAATTCTTTAGTCGAGCTTTTCCATTCCTTAGCATTGGGAACTTGTTGCTTTTCTTGGGTGAAACTGGAACCGTAAACTGCCTCGCAGAAGTCAGCTGAGGTTTGCTTGCGAAGCAAACGAGTTCTTGGCACGAACAACGGGGCCTCGCGTTAGGTTCTTCAATCCTTGGCTGTTCTTGCTAGGGGGGTTTTCACGTGAACGCGTGACTTGTCACAGGGAAGCGTGGCAGGGAGGCACCAGTAGCTCCTTTTGTTGCTGCCAGAATCAGTGCGCCTTTCACGGGCAGGCGGCCGACGTCCCGCCGCCGCGCCACGCCGCGCCCCGCCGCTTTCCCACGGGGGAGCCGCGAAGATGAGCCAGCGGATGCACCGGGATCAGACGCCAGGCAAAGTGCGTTCCAGGAGCTCCTCCTCTGAGTAGGCAGCGTCTCAGAATGGCACTGAGGTACAGCCCGTAACGCTTTTGTCTGGTTTTGTTTTTTCCGTAGGAAATTCTAAGTGGGAAAGAAGCACTGGATAAGCTAATCAGCAAACTCCTGGAGTTCGCAGAGATGGAGGCCGTCACCGAATATCTAGAAAATTTGCAGGTTTCAGAAGGAGGAGGCTGCTGAAGGCCTGGTGTAGAGTTAAAGCAGAAATGTTGTGTTCGGTAGCAAAATAAAACAGATGCATTTGTTAGACTGATTAAAACCTATGCCTCTGTTTTTCAGCGTGTGATACTACTCGTGTTTACATTTTGGTGCAAATGGGTTGAATTTATTACAGCAGCCCTAGCAGAAAAGAACAAGCTTGGAGTACCGTGTGCTCAGTAGGTACCTCCTGTCTTGGCAGGGTGGCTTTGTTAAGCCAGTCCTTCTCTTGACCATATTGCAGCCTGGAAGATACAGAATTGTGGTGATGGAGCAGAAGAAATACTGCACAACGCACGTTTTTTTTGGGGGGGGGGGATGGTAGATGTCCCTCTCCAGGTGAAAGAACCTAAATAGTATAAAATCTGGCTTCATGGATCCTACTTATTTTTATGCACTGACTGGGTCAACTTCCTGAATGCAGTCCCTTAAAAATAACTGTATTACGATACTTTATTTTTTAGAGTGAATATGGAAAAGGAAAGGGGGTGATCTCAGGCAAGGGGCCAGAACCTTAAGAGAGAAGCCTGTCAGCTTTCTTCCAGCCATCCCTGGGTCAGCTTAGGGTGGGTCTGGGCCACACGCTGCAGTGGCATGTAAAAGTGCGTGTTCTAGTTTCAAATTAAGTTGATGAGACTCTGGAAGGAGCTCAGCAGTGACGACAGGCAGCTCCCTGCTTCTTGGCAGAGGAAAGGAGTTCACGGTGTGGATGCATTTTAGCAGATGGGGCAGCTTCGGAATTCAGTTTCTGCCTCGATGTCTTTGGGAAGGTGTGCCCGTCCCCGAGGGCGATCCAAGTGTCTGGAGACACCTGTGCTCTGCACAACCTTTTGCATGTGAAGAATCAATTCATTCTGGGGGTTTCAGTTATGCCTTGTGGTTGATTTATATTTGCACGTTTATTTTGTAATCATGAATGGTACGGGACCGAGAAAATGTCAGTTATTTTAAGAAAAAATATTTCAATACTGCGTTCTGTAAAGGGTGTAGTTTTCACTACTGTATATATAACAAGCAACGGTTTTAAATTTATTCAGCTATGTTAAGAAAGACAGGGTAGATACCAGGAAGTAAAGCAGGAAAGCTATACTCAGTTTCTCAGTTCTGGAATTATTTTTCAATTCTTTTGTGTGTTTGCACGATCTTATCAGCAAGCTTTGACAATTTTTGACTTGCTTCCAACACTTCAAGTACAAAAGCTTTTGTTTTTCGGTTGTTTTCGGTTTTGTTTCAATTCATAGCTCTGTAAGTCAATCAGGAAACTTATTACCATGGAATTTAAGAGTCATTTGCACACTTGGACTTTGACTTCTTGCGGTAAGCAGTTCAATAAAGGAAACCTCCGGGAAGATGCGCAGCCCAGCTTGTCTTTCCGCGGTGCCGACAGACTGCCAGTAACTAATATGATCAGCTGCAGTGGGAGAGTATCCAGTTAACGCGCTTATCCAATTACCGTGCTCACTTTTGTGATGCAAACCAATTTATTTTATTAATTATATATCTTGAACAATCTTAGAAGCTTCTTATGAAGTACACGTTTTAAACAATTGGATTCTACTTCTAGGGTTACTTCATGTCTGGGAAGTTCTTTACCATGAAAAACTAGTGAAGCACTTTTGAAAAATGAGCCTCGTTTATTTTACTGGAGGAAAGATGGTCGCGTTTTGGCTGCAGGACCTTAGGGATATTTGCACGTTAACTCATTTTCCGTAGCCCTTCTTTGTTGTTAGTCTTGTGCAGAGTGGTGAGAACGGGGAAGCAGGAACCAGCTTCCCCCTACTAAATTTTAGATGCCCCCAATGTAGGCATTGAAATTTAGCAGCTAAATCCCTTCTCCCAGCCTCTGGAGGAGGATCTTTGTCTCACTAAGCTCACCCGGACCGCTCCTACCTGTATATGACGGGAGAATAAGGCCGTGCTGTTACGACAGAGAATTTATACAGGGCAGGCCCACTTCTCCAGGAGGTCGTTGCCCGCAACACTCAGCTTTACCAAAACCAGACATATTCGCTTCTCCTCTCTGAGAAAGCACCACCTGAAGCTGTGTTTCTGCCCAACGTGCAAAATATTATTTGAAGCCATCTTTTATTCTAAATTCTTCCATCCCAGTCTCTTTCTCCGGGACGTAAGCGCTGAGAGATTGTGGTGGGGTTTGGCTGTGGGCTGGTACTTGCCCCTGGGGGGAGGGATGTGGAGTATAACGGTGCCACCAGGGGGGATTTTCAGGATGGGATACTCCGAACTCAAGCTTTTCGGTTCCTACGAGCAGCCGTGACTTTCAGCGGTGAAATCACCAGCAGGAAAAGGGGATAACAAAGCACGGGGAGGAAAAGGAAAGGGCAGGCGGTGCGGCGTGGCGGCTGGTGCGAGGCACCCGCTTCACCTCTGGCCAGCGCCTGTGGAGCGACACCAGACCCAGTTCCCAGATCCCTTCTCACCGCCCTGCCGAGCGCTCGCCTCGCCCAGCAAGGAAGGAAGCCAGACAACGGCTGCACCTTCAGGCGGCCCTTTTCATGCCAGCGGAAGGATGGATGCTTGCCCTCTGCCCTGGTACCTTACCTTGATTGCTTTCATTTAATCATCGACAGAACGTACACGGGAGTGCCTCAGAAATCCTGGAACTACAAATCAATTTATTCACGTGAAGTGGCAAGCTGCTTGTTCTCCTTTAGCTAAAAGGAAGAAATAACCAAATGCTGTTAGCAACAAAAGATATTTCATAGTCCGGCAGAACTCTTTGTCTGTATCACACCTTATTTTTTTCTAGCTGTTTAATACAGCTGAGTATTTTTTTTTCACTCTCTGTAAAAAAATTGCCAAAAAATCACATTGACTGGAATATTTTTTTTCAGTAAAAGAAATGTTATGAAATCATTTACATGCATTCCTCACCTTTTAAAAGTGTGCATCTTTAGCTCTCAGGGCATTGCTCATCATTCTTAAGACGAGCAAATACGAAGACTACTGAATCACAATCTGTTATCATCAGGAAGTTTATATATTCGGCTATATTCTGAATGATAATAGTAACTACAACAAACCTTACCAGACCTCTGTTAAGAATTTTAAAATTAACAATTTTAACCCAGGTCATTTGTTACTCATAACTGATGCACAGAATAAACCAATTTCCAGTAACTGCTTAACGTGCTACTTGAAGGCACCCAGACACTACGTTGGTGACCACAAAGTAAAAGTATTTCTTTCAAGAATCATTTCCACATTTACATAGCGTGCTGGGTTTCTGTGGTGGGGTTTCTGGGTAGCAGGGGAGGGGGCTACAGCGGTGGCCCCTGTGAGAAGCTTCTCGAAGCTCCCCCGGCTCCACGTCGCACCCAGCTGTGCCCCAAGGCCGAGCCCATTAGCCAGGGCAGCTGCACCTCTGGGATAACGTATTTAAGAAGGGGAACCTGGGAGGGGGTTGGAGGATTTGTGAGTAGGAGTTACGAGAACACCCGTGTGAATACCGGGATCAGTGGAAGGAAGGAGAAGGGCGTGGGGGTGGTGTGCCGGAGCAGAGACCCCTGTGTCCCGTGGGGAGATGGCAGGGCCGCCCACCCTGCCCCCCATGGAGGTCCGTGGTAGAGCAGAGGTCGACCTGAAGCCTTTGGAGGAGCCCACGCCAGGACAGGAGCTGCACTTCAAGGAGGCCGGGACTCTGAGGGAAGAAGCGGCCCCCGCTGTTGTAGTTCGGCGCTGGGAGGGCGGCAACACACGGGGGTGACCCATGCTGGAGCAGCTCGGGAACGGCTGCGGCCCGTGGGGAGGAATCACCGTGGAGAAGGTTGGTGGAGGACTGTCTGCAGTGAGAGGGGAGGGCTGTGCAGCGTCCCCCCCACCTCCCCAGAAGGAGCAGGAGCTGATTGTAACCCCCATCCCCTGCCCCCTGCCCCGCTGGGGGAGGAGGGAGGGAGACTGGGAGCAGAGCTGAGCTCCGGGGAAGAGGGGAGGGGTGGGGGGAAGTGGTGTTAAGATGTGGTAATGCTTCTCGCTGTCCCACCTTGTCTGTTAAGTGTTGTGTTTTAATTAAATTGATGCTGTTTTTTTCCCCTACAGAGTAATGGGTGAGTCATCCCTGCCTGACCTTATTCCTGAGCCTCTGGGTTCATTTTGTCCTTCACAGTGGTCTGGGGGGTGTGTGTGTGTGTGTGTGTGTGTGAACTGCTGCACAGTGCTCAGTTGCCCTCTGGGCTCAAAGAATGAGACGTACCTGTTTTGGTATGTCTCAAGCCCCTTTTTTAACAGAATATACACCCATAAATCTCTCAGGTTGTTCTAAAACCCTTGAATGGATGAACAACAGTAATACAGATTGTTCAAATGAAAGCTTTATTCGGTATTTGCATATAAATTCCACTTTAAGAGCTTGCAATGTTTTCTAATTGCAACTGAGGAGCTGGTAAAGAGAAACCAGCTGTATAACTTTGCAGACAAATACTTACAAACTAAACCAAGTGCTTTTCAATCACCCCACTGTTCTTCACTGTATCTTCTGCTAAGCAAGCCATTAAAACCCACTGTCTTCAGCCCATGGTCTGTATAACACTGTTGTCTTGTTCTTAACACAGGCTATTTCTACTTCTATACATAAAATCAAACCTGCATTTGCTGACACTCTCTGGGAATCCTCTTGGGAAAATACAGCATTTTTCTGATTATTGTTTGCAACACTTCTTGCTTCGCACAGAAACTTTTATTCAAGCTACATCCCAAAACATGTCAGAAAGCTAAATTTGTTAATCACACAAATGGTTAACATGATTTCTAAGTTAAATAATTTAGCAGGTAGAAGGTACAAGGACTTCAGAGGTAGATACAAGAGACCGAAGAGATGTGGCTGACAAGGCAAACCCAAAGGGTTGCCATAGCAGAAGGTATACAGACAGCTTTTGTGCCAGCAAGCGGAAGGATTTAAGGGCTGCAAACCCCGTAGGTGGAATGGAATGAAATATGTCTCAGGAAAATGAATTATGAAGGAAATCGAAAGAGCACATGTAGTCGGTCTTGAAATAGCTTGCCTGTTGTCTGAAAACAGATAAGGTTGTACTTCTTCGGGGCGTGATGCAAACAGGCAGCAGAAGCGCTCGGCGTAAGCCGGGAGCTGGAGACACGGTGGCCTACATAAAAAACCCACAAAGCTTTCCGAAGATCTCAGCAGAGCAGGGGATAAGGTGAAGGTGGGCGCTGGAAACACGGCACAGCGGTGATAGGTAGATTTGCATATATAGGAATACTGGAAGAAGACAGATTGAGGAAGACAGCACTAGTAACAAAAGTACTAAAAAGGGGAAGCACAACTCAAAAAGCAAATAAAGGAAATCAAGCATCGTGAAATAGTTTTTTACTCCTTTTCTGAGACGCCAAAATTCGCACTGAAACAACATTTTTTTCCGGGGCAGAGAGAGGAGAAATGTGTTCATGCATGCAGAGGTTGGTGAATTTAACTCAGATTCCTGTCATGACCAGCTGTCCCACCTTCTAGATCTGGATACTGGACCTGGATGATGCTGCAGCACAGACCTTGTCTAAGAGGGTCAAAAAGCAAACATTACCATATTACAAAAGTCTGGATTTCAATCTACAAATTCCCAGGTGAAGGGTTAAAATTTGATTCAGCCTAAATAGGAACAAGGATTATTCTATAACCTGGGTCTAATTGAGCAGGACTCTGCACAGTTCCCAACATAACAAATGCTCAAGGAAAGAATTTTCTTTTTCTCGTATGCGCAATATGTTTGCTTCTGAAAGCATCATCAACTTCAGGCAGGCCCTACTGTAAAAACACACACACACCAAAGATAAGCGTCCTGCACGGCAAAGCTCCTTCTAAACAGATAAGGCAGGTGAAAGATGAGACAAGGAAAGAAAAATACAGAGCAATGAACTGACTCACTCAAAACCACACAGAAGAAATCATCATCAGAAATTGCAATGACTCCTCCTTTATCTCCGACTCGCCTTCTCATATTGCTAATAATGTCTACAACAGTTTATAAAACCAAGGACGTATTCCTCCCTCAAGGAGCTTGAAATAAAAGCAAGCAAGCAGATAAAAACATGCTGCGTGCTAGAAAATGGATTGGTCGGAAAACAAAACACTCTTCTTCTGAAAACACTGCTCTACTGAAACAGCAAAAGAACATTCCTTTGTCAAAAGCCAGTGCAGCCCAAAGAAGGATTAGCAGATGAGGAGTGTAACTGTGGTAATAACTAGGGGATTCCTACGGCAAATTCCAAAGGCTGGGAGATTTTGCAGAGAGAGAGCACAGAAGGGAGAGAGATCTGTGCAGAGCAGATGTCCTGGAAAAGCTGCGTCTGCCTTAAATCTCACACAAGACAGTATTTTTGTATAGAAGATAAAATATTTGGTTTAGATACACAATAAGAAAATTGAATGACAGCATGGTGCAAAATTAAACAGTGGCTTTGGATATATGAAATTGGATTCCACTAGCCCTTATTACAATTTACACTTAAGGACAAAGAATAAACTGGTCTCCCCTCAAGCTGACTTTCAGAGGTAGTGGGGAGCAAAACACTGTATTTCTTTGTGAAATGAAGGCTTTAGAAGTCACATCAGCAAAAGCAAGCATATGGTATTTAAACTGACTTTACTAGCGTGAGCAAAGAAAACATTTAATCCTTTTTTCTAATGTTTTGTCTATTTAACAAAGCACTTGACAAAGACCTCTGGTTCATATTACAAATAACAGCAGCTCCTCAAGGGAACAAGTTTTGAACACTTTTATTTTCAGAAGTTTTTAAACATCTGCTTGAGCAATTTAGTTACACGTATCTTAAATCACTGCCTCTGACCGCTTCAATGTGACAAAACATTTTTAAGGGAAGATGCTAACATTTTGGGAACCTCACTAGATGAGGAATGTCCTCCTCTGAGGATATCAGAAGTGGAGCCTCCAAATAATTATACTACTGTATAAAGCTGTACTAATAAACAATAAACTAATTTTACAGAGATCGTAAAGAAATTTATATACTTTAGTCTTGGAGAAACAGAAGCAAGATGAGCACAGCAGTACGAAACAAATATGTAAGAAAAAAAAAATTGAGCTTGAAAAGAAAGCCAGATGAGCTGTTAAGCCAGCAGTGGGCCATGGCACAGGAGCAGGAGCACTCAGGGCAGACAGCACCATGCAGTCCTGCGAAAGGCAAATGTGGCTTAGGGACGTATTTTTTTTAGGACATAAGTGACTTCCAGTGCACTAAGGAAGTATTAGTGACATTACGCGTGGCCTTAATCTTCCTTGAACATAGAGCTTAGGCAAACTCAGGCTAGAACGGGTGAAGAGAAATGCCGGTGGGTGGAGCAGGGAAGGCCCTGTCACACAAGGACTATTCTGAAAAGATGCACCGGGTTCAAGAGGAAGAAAAGCCCTTAGCTGAAGGGCAACACTTGTGTAAATTGGGAGGAAATGAGCGTAAACTGGTCACAAACACACAGAGGCTTCAAATTAGAACAGGCTCCTAGCTGCTGGAGTAGTGTTCAAATAAGAATAAGAATAAAACCTGAAAAACCTGTTATTTAAGAAACCCGTCAACTTCTCCTTAGCAGAAAGGACATTTCTGTTCTAGCCTTGCCTGCGAGGTCTTTCATGTGGACGACATGTTGTACATTCCTCCATCTATGACTGTGAGAGCGTCCAGCACGCATCCTTCATCCCTAAATGACAATCCAGGGCCAGATATGACAGGAAATGTTCACATTTCTCAAAGCAAACATCAGAAGAAACACAACAACCCTGATGAAGCCGAAGGAACACACGGGATTAAATACAATACCGAATTCCCTTCCACACACAGAGAAAACGTCACAGAATAGAAAAAAAGGACTTCATCTTCCTTTGTGATACAGGAGAAACCAGATTCCCTGTCCTGCACTCCTTTCTGCACTGATCTGACAGATGAACAGTTGTTTTCTCCGTGAAGGTCGAGCTCAGCAGTTACCAACTCCATTTTGCTGTAGCCAGACTCTGACAAGTGTCTTAACTGCACCCTCTGTTTTTGACTGAGACTCTCCTGAGCCAAACACCTCGAGCTTTAGGAACAGAGGCATGTTTTTTAAGGCATTATCGATTTGACCCTCTATGCTCCACTGTTCGATACCCAGGGAAGCAGTGAGTGCAGCTGTATTCTTGCATAGCCAACGAATCTTAGGGGGCTAGGTGCAGACCAATTCCACCAAGTGAAGAAATCAAATCTACAGTCCTTAAGAAAACGTCAAAGCCATCTTGGGCAGTAGAGCCATCAGCTCTACGTACCCGTCTTTCGGTCCCCTCTCCCATGGTAGTGAGAACGGTGAAGCTCCGGCACGCTTAGCCCCTCTCAGCTTAGTGAACACGACAACTGTTCAACACACTCCTCCTATCACCAGACAAAACCCATCAACCTCAAAAAGGGTGCCGTGTGCTCTAGCAGGGCTCCAGGTCTTTGGAATATTTTTCATGAAAATATCAGGGAATTGGTTTTTTTTTTTTTTTTACAGGGAAAGAGACAAAAAAAAGCCCCCAAGACCAAAATAAGAAAACTTGATGTGTAAAAAGAAGGCAAAAATCAAGTAAAGACAACAATAAAGCAAAATACAACAGAAAGACACCACGGAAATACCTACTGGCTCTGGTCCTGTCATTAAAAGCTAAGATTCATCAGATTTAAATCTCCTGCAGAGGTTTAATACATTTATCATGCACGTACACAAATAATTTTTCAGAATGTCATTTGCAATGAGTGGCACTGATGTGACTAACTCCTCTAAAAACAGCTTCCAAATGATCCGTTTGAAATGTTGGCAGTCTCACTACCTACTCTTTTGCAAGTGATCAGCCAAAGGTTAGTAAGCACAATATTTTTACTCATTAGTTGGGAAACTACTCCACATAAACAATCCTGGAAGATGATTTTACTCTCTAGTACGTGCCATTGATCCAATTCCTCTGCAAAATAAGAGATCTGCATCCTTTTTGCCACATTAAGGATTACTACAATCTCCCATACTTAGAAAAGGAGTAAAAAACCTTACGCAATGTATTTAAAACAGCATACACAGAGCAAATTGAACTTAGATGGCATGGTTAGAATCAAAAATAAATGTATTTACAATATTGCGTAAGTAATATAACACAAACTTCCATTCCAAAATCAATCACATCAAAATAAAATAAAAAAATATTACAACTCACATATGCTTTAATACCTATAAATCCTTAATTTCTATCCAACATTTTCTTTATAAAAGCCTGTTTAAAATATTAAACTTTTGATTCACTCTAGCTTCAACAGAATCTAAAATAATTTCTTGAGTATTACTGATCACTTAGTCTTTGTCTTAAGTTTCTAGATTTTCCATTTTCAAATTTCCTCTTTTTAAATGTTGGCACCCCTTCTGTCAGGTCTCCAAGGGAGGTGACTGTCTTCTCTTTAAATATCATTGTTGCATCTTCTGGAACCTCTAGCACTGGAGGTGGTAGATTGTCACTCTCTGTACTAGGAAGCTCCAGGTCCACTTTTTCACTGGGAGAAGAGAGGAAAACATAGAAGGGTTAATCTACATGGAGAAAACAACACGGTGGACAGCAGATAGTAACATCTGTATTTGACTGTCAAAGCAGCTTTGAGCTAGATGCAGTCTTCTAGCCAAGATCATCATCATGGCAGGGATCAGGAAATAAAATATTCCTTGTTTCTTCTGTGTGGGCTGCCATAAAAAGTTAAAAACTAAGACCTCATTCTGTACAGAGCTTATAGCATGGTCCAAGTTGTCATCGTGCAAATAGTCCTGCAAAAGACAACAGGGCTGCATGTGTGTAAATTTAAGAATGTTGAAAGACAGCAGTCAGTGAGTAATTAGCAGTGGTTCACTGTCAAAATGCTATGGAGTAGTTTTCCACAAGTGTCCCTCCTTGGTGGTCTGCATGACAACAGAGGACAGGCTTACCAAATCGGCCAGTGACCCCAAACTGGGAGAAGCAGATCTGGAGAACAGGATCACTGCTAATACTGATCTGAACAAATCAAAGACGTCATCTAAAAATGACCAATTGGTTTTAAGGGGTCAACACCAAAACATTGTGTTCTACAAGTATAACCCACGGCACAAATGTACAGTGGAGAACAGCTGAACAGCTCGCAGAAAATTATCTACTTCACAAGTCTGTCAGGAATCACACCAGCATAACAGTGCTGCAGAGATACGCGTTGTATTCCTGGCCAATCCACACAAGAAATCTTTCAGTACTACTGAGTGTTAGTTTGACATCAGCTTGTGTGCTACACCTAGTTTCAGGTCCTATGCTTCAAGGAAGACATGGTTCAGCTCAAGCACCCAAAGAAGAGCCACAAGAATAACTGCAAGTCAATAAAATGTGACTGTTGCAGTATCTCAAAAATGTAAACCTCCTGAAAGCAGCTGGCACTGTGCCTAGTCTTAATTTAAAGTAAATAATGAACAACTGTATTTTTCTCTTTTACGTGTGTGCATATCTCAAGCCTGTGTGTTAATGTAGACTGATACATAAGGTTCAGTTGCTGAAAGCACTTTCTATTGGACAGTGCTTTCCAAAAACCTGAACGAATTTATCAGCTCTGGAGTCAAGAAGAGGTTAGCTGGTCCCACACAGGAGGTGTTATGTGAACATTATAATCTCCATGGAACTATATTGGTGCTTAATTTAGTTCAGTGTCAAAACTCTTATCTGCTGAATAACTTAGAAATAAAATGCTGGAAAATGGGGTGAGTATGAGGGAAGAGACTTTTCATTCTCTGAAATCTGATTTCTCCAGACTCCTAGAGGGCCCCGCAATAAGAATCTGGCCATAAAAGACAGCATGCTTCACAAAAAAATCAAGAGCCATCTCAGGCATTATGCAGTAAAACAAACCAAACCAAACCTCCTCATCAGATGCACGTCATGAAAACATCTGCAATACATTGGTTGGACATGGGAGAGAGAGGCAGCTTCCAGATTTAAAATTGGCGTAACTAGATTACATGTGTTTTGCCTTTCACTTCCTCAGTTAAATCGTTACAGAAAGTGTCTCACATTGTAAGAGCCTCCAGGACTCTTACAATGTCACTCCACAGTGACAGCACCAAAGGTTGTAGTGGATTTTGGTTTGGTTTTGATAAACTTTGTTTTAAAATGCGGGAAATTAGGAAACAAGAAAAACAGTTGAACCAGAAATCTCTTACTGCAATACTGGGTGAAAGTAAGCCAAAAATTTTCAAGTGTCTTTTTGGCTGTGTCCTTCAAGTGAACAGTTAGAGTTAGTACAACATCACAAAATGAGAAGTAATTCACTGCTTGTGGAGGTAACTGAGCCAAGCATATCAGGCTCAGCTAGAAATTGCTCGGAGTCTAAAAATGCATACTCATTATGTCAGCAACTATTAATCCCACAGGGAAGGAACTCAAAGCAATGCTAACCCAGTACGATCAAGTTAAGGTTGCTGGTGGTCCTAGAAGGTAAAGATAGATCTTGAACTTCAGGTAGTTAGCTCAAAATCACTCATTGAAAGAAACAGAATTTAGCCTGGAAGCTGGAGGCCCCAAGAAAGCTGCCTACGTTGTTCCAAGGCTGGACACAGTTGAAAAAAACAGTCACAAGAGCTCCTGAGGCAGCTGAACCAGATTTTTGAAGGGGATGATGTTAAGGAACATAAGCTTAGAGTAACTACATTTCAATTTAAATAGTTGCTACTCAGCCTCTGAGAAAAATGATGAATGACAAAGATCCTTTAAATCACTTCAATTTACTTTGTACTCACGGTGAGCTTCTACACTAAAACCAAAACACCACTACTAACCACCATGGAGAGCTATTACTTAAAATAATCACTGTGGAAAGAATAGTATTTGGGCTATGTTTCCAATCACTGACGTGCTAATTCTGCCAGAATTCAGAAGCAAAAGCCTCAGCTCTTGGGAACAAGTATTCTGGAAACAAGTATTATGAAAATAACTATGGTAAAAAGACCCTCACCATGTTTCCTCTTCCTCTTCTTCTTCTTCTTCTTCTTTTTCTTCTCTTTCTGTAATTGCTTTCCATTTTCCATAAGGGTTGGTCTTGTTAGGTGCATCACTAGAGGTTTCCTGGGAAGATGATGTACTCCCCTCTTTAGCAACAGTTCCTTCTGACTTAACTTCTCGCCATTTCCCGTAAGGACTTAACTTTTTAGCTCTGGGAGATTTTTTCCCTTCCTCTGATTCTTCACCATTATCTCCTTTCCTCTAAAGAGGAAAAAACCCACCTTAAGCAAAAATGCCTAAATAAAAACACAATGTACCTTTATTTTACGTCTTTTATTTACTATTATCTACTATTCATACTTTTCAACCAAAAGTAACTTGAAACAATAAACTCATATTGTAATAAAATCTTTACATTTGTCATCACATAGAATTGAAAAAAAACCTTAAATCTTACAAAAACTTGGAAAATCCCATCTATCAAGGCTGAAATTAGCAAGGAGTAGCCAATACAAACTTACTTAAAAACAAAGCTTAGCCTATCTTAAGAAAATAAAAAAAGGGGGCAAAAATTGATATACAACTTTCTGTGTATGCAGATACATACACTTCACAACTAGTACCTCATAGTAGTTTATAATGATGCACAGTGATACAAAAATATATATATTAGAATTAATACCTGTCTACGAATACATTTTATATTTAAACTGTCTGCCTGTTCTGAACTATCCATTTCAAAAAAATCATCTGACCCAAATGGAGCCATAATCACACACTTTACCTTAAGTTTTAAATCTGAAGACAAAAATATATAATTGATACAGATTTTGTGCTGTGTGCTGCCAATTTTTTTCTCAAATTAATAAAGAAACTAAAATAATGCAATTTTCAGTCAGAAGCATTCCCTGAAGGTCTCTTGGCAATCGTGTTTACCAGTGAAGGTTTGAAGTCATCGTCACACTGAAATCCAAACCATTTCAGGGAAATTACCTTTCTCAGGGAACAATCACATTTCTTGCAGATTTCAAGCTACTTCTGGTGGGCTGAAGGAAGGATCATGCTTTCTATTCTGGAACAGTGCCACTAATGGGGCAAATAACTGAATAACGATTCATTTGCCTATTCAAACAAGTGCAAACTTCTACTTTTGGTCATACAGTTTAAGCTCAATACAGTAAGTACAGCCTATCACAACAGGTAAATCATATTATGCTAGAAAATTAATTCTGCATGTAAAATAGATATGAAGAGAAAATTCACCTTGAAACTTCTTTTTGAACTCTGGGCTTCGTTTTCACTGTCTTCTGAGTCTGATTCAGACGCTTTGGAATCTGTTTCTGCAAGCTCTTCCGAATGCTTGTCACGTTGCCTCTTCTCATTTGAAGATGAAACAAAACCATCCGGTTTCTCCCATGTGGATACTGTCCAAAATATTTGAACAACTACATTATTTACGTTACTAATTCCATTATTACTTTGACAATATTACCTTTCAGAAGCAGTGCTGCCTTATTGCAAAAATATAGCATGTAATTTAGCACAAGGCTTTTGCCTTTGTTCAATGTTTGTTTTAATAAACGTAATCAGAAAGATAACATTTCACTTCCCAGCAGAGATACAGTCATGACAGCTGAGTTCACTGTTGATAAAGCTTGTTTTAATTAGTGCTTAAGAAAAACATCGTGCATGGTGAACTGCCGTCTCTCTCATCCTTACACAGGACAGACAAATTGCCCTCTACAGGTGCCTATTTGATCTGAATTATCCACTGATTACAAAAACAGGGTAAAGAACAATCACTGCAAGTCTCAGCCCTCTGAGCAGATAAACCCCTTCCCTGTGTTACTCATCTTGGACATTAGATCTCTAATTAAAGAGCTGTCAGGCAAACAAGGAAATACAAACATCAGTCTGAAAAGACATGAAAGTATGTACAGGATATGACCACATTTTCAATGAAAAGGTAGTATTCCAGCAAATATACTGAGAGGAAATATTTAAATAAATGTTGACTCCGTGGTCTTAAAACTGGTTTGAGTCACAATAAGGCAAAAGTACACCAACTTTCAGCCTATAATTTTATATAAGCTTTCAAATATAACAAAAGTACCATTTTCCCAATTATTTTGTCTATTTCCAAAGAAATCTCTAACTGAAAACAACACTTAACAGGTATGTGCCTAGATGTATCCTGAAGTAAAGGTGTAAAACTGGCAATGAGTGACTTTGCATGAACGGAATGGGCTCTTAAGGGTACTGCTGTCATCTAGCTTTAGACTAGTAACTGAGAAAGTTCACTTTCCTAGGTGCCCCGTACACCCAGTGGACTAAGGTGCAGCCTTCCAAAGCGTGGCTTGTAGCGCTCGGCCTCGAGATACTGGTCTGCTAAGTTACGTGCCTGAGATGAGACACTGTGACTGTTTCCCTCAGTTAAAAATCTGTCTTGTCTTCGGATGATGGGATGAGCATTAACAGAGCTGACAAGTAATTTTCAAGCATTTTCAAGACACTTAGAGCTATATAAAATTAAGGGATCGTTTTAAAATTTCACAAGCCAAAATTTCACTACGTACCATGATTACAAAGACATTCTTCACGAGTCCCATGTGTCCATGAAGAATATTAAAAAATAACACAACCAAAGGCATAAAACGTATCTCAACTTAGAAGGCAATGTTTAAAAATAACAAGCATCTCGTTTCCCTTTCTAAACAAAAAAATCAAACATTTGGGCAGGGGAGTGGCATGCTGAAAAACTGAAAAGTTTGGGTTTTTTTTTCTGTTCTTGGCATCGTTAGGAAAGCCACTTCGTACCCAACAGCAGAAGGAAAATTCATAGCCGGCATAAAATCACTTGCTCTCTGGAGAGGCATCATTGACCTTAAAATGTTTCAAACAGATTTAGAAAACAGATGCCTGTTCTGAGGGAGTTACCATAAAGTTCCCCATGTAGGGAAAAAAAACAGGGAAAAGGATTAGGAGGTAAAATCCTGGACTCTCTTACCAATCAGTAAAAGTTTTGGAGAATTCATCTTCAGTCCTACATACCTGTCAAAACAAAATCCTGCCCCTTTCTGGTTTCCAAACTATAATTTCAATATGTATGTAGAGAAGAAGAACCCACAGTTTAGAGTTGCAAGATGAGTGTCTAAAAAAACCTAAGAAGCACAAATGTGTACACACTGACAATACAGCTATAAAGCCAGCACTGACTTAATTGCCAAGTATATTTCAACAAAGGTATCAGCTTAAAAAATACACAACTTAGTAATGGCTTAAAATGCAGTTATTTGCAAAGCAAAATGCTTCTCTGAAATCACTCTCTTCTGAAACAGAGCTTAACTGGAAAACAAGCTCTCCTTACCTCCTGTTTGTGTGTTATAGTAATAGGTATGACCATCTTCAGTGACACCTTCTACCCACTCTGCTGTCTAAGAAAAAGATACAGGAGATAATTTAAAAAGTTTTAACGATCAGCCAAAGCATCACTTATAAGACTATTCAACCCTTGAGTATTTTTTGTTCATGGTAATTTTACTGTTTTAAAGCTCGAACCCCTAAAATTGTTAGAAAGTATTCCCTTTGACTCAAATGAGATTCAATTGCTCAGCTTAAAACACTGCAAATGCACATACACAATTTTTTTCAAACAGTGAATAATTAGTATGAGACAGTATGTTGCCATACAGTTCAAATTATTATACAGGCCATTATTTTACATGTAGTTTATTTTCCAAAGTATTCACCCCTGAGGTTGAAATTTCCTGTTTGTGCCATTGTCTTTAGTAGAGATTGATAAAAAATTTCTCTGGAAGACTCAGAGCTACAGAAAACCATTACTAATAAATACTATCACATATTAAACATAAACAAACAAAAAACCCCCTTCTAAAACGTATCCCAAAATAGATCTTCACCAGAAATAACTGAAGAATCGAATTTTGCAGAAATGCATGCCAATGAATTTACTTCTTTAGTAAAGCACCTATGTGTAATTAAAGATGTTTTGCAGAATCAACCACAGCTAGATAATCAGTCATTACACATAACTTAACATCTTCCTTAACAACCTGTTCTTCATCAACACTCACACATACAACTACTGCACTGCTGCTTAAGTACTAATACTGCCCACTCCCCTCTATTAGGCAGAGAACATCTATGCAGCTTCACCATACACTATTTTTGCATTAATAAATGTCTGGGTGTGTGTGTACACAGACACATACAAACACAGATAGGCTTTTGCACATGCCTCCCTCCATACACTTGCTTAATACTCTATTAAAACTTTGTTTGTTTGTTTAAAAAAAAAAAAAACCCACACAACAAAATCAGAACTTGAAGTTCTCATACCCACTCTGTAAACAGGAAAAATTGTACCAGTAGGTTCAGAGCAGGCAAAGGCAAGAAAGCCTACAGTGAGCAAGTTTCCTCAAGGTTTTCCTCTCAAAAGTTTCAGTGTAACAGTTTCAACGAAAGAAGCAAAAGGAAAATTTATTTTATGTAGGTAGAAAGAGGACAAAAAAATGGACTTAAGTACAACCTATCCTTTTTGTTAGCTAAATCCTGAGTATTTTAGACCTGGTTCTTAGAGGTTTTCAGCAGGTATCACTAGCAGGTTCACTAGGCACACTGAGTATCCAACTACATAAATGCTAACGAGCCTGATGTCAATCTAACTGAAGTTATAGGTAGTCTTCATCAACGCGTCTTTTCATTACTCTGTCCTTTCCACCTCTTATGACGTCTGAGCAGCAAGCTAATGTGCTGCAGAACAAGGAGGGCCCGTGAATCTCACTTGCACTACATACTGCAAGCATGCCCTTTAATTTCTGGGCAGTGAGTCCTTGTTAGAGATCTGAAATGTTCCCAATATCTTTAGCTCAGACTAAATAAGGGAGCAATCAAATGCTTGTTTTTAGCAATAGCAAAAATAACTCAAGATATGACAAAGTCACTGAGCAGGGCGAAGGAGGAATGGCAAAATACCACCATGTGGCATTAGAGAGCTATCCAAGGCTGAAGGTGTGTGTTTATGATATAGCTAGGATGAGCTAACTTCAAATCGGTGCCAAGAAGGGAGCGCCTTCTCTCCTCCATCTGCTCTCCCTTCACCGGCATTTCTCCCATCACCCAGAGAGCCGATGGCAAGGAGATAAGCCTGCAAACCACTAACCTAAACACCGATGTCTTCACTCCCTGAACTAGCTGACTGTCAGGGCAAATATGCACCAAGGACCATACAAGATTAGTCACAGGACCACCTCCTTCAGTGGAAGGCTGTAAGCCAGTAAGACTGCCTTATAAATATTGTAAAGCTATGCCTTGACTGAAAAGATAAAGCTGAAGTGCTGGTTAACAAGTTGTGCAAAACCACAGGACAAAGGAATCAGAAAGCCAGAGTAGCATGTGATTGGCAGCTCTAACATGAAATGTGCAGTCACAAGCCTGCATGCCTGAGGTAAAACACAGACTTAGCAAGAGATGGAATACAGACGAGACTTCATGTACACTTTGTGAATTGATTCAATTGCCTAAAAATATACACAATTATAACCATTTTCTCCTCTGACTGTAAGTGAACCAGTACCAAGAATAGGCTACTTCCTGAGATGCGACAATACAGAGCTACAGAGTGTCAAGCAGTCTGAAAAGGCCAGGCTTTTTTGACCTCTAACATAAAATCCAACATCAGCAAACAAAACTGACTTTTATTATTGCCCATTAATATTAAGAAGAAATCTTTCTGTCTCTCAAGTATTCTGCAAGTTTTCCTGTGCCTTAAATAAGGAAAATAAAGTAATATGCCAAAAGGTTGCCTGCACATAGGTTTCATGACCATAAGAAACCCAGGAAAAAGACAAATTATCACATAACTATATCCTAAAGCAAACACAAAAAATAGGCACTTTTTTTTTAAACCATCTGACAATGCAAGCTCAATGTTTCCTAAGATAAAGGAGTCTTCACTATTTAAAATGTGTAAGATTTAATCTTCTAAATTACATTTCACTCACAAAAGGTGGAACAGAATTTATTCAGAATTTCCCCAAAGCTTTCAATTTTATGGGCTGAAGGATCAAAAAAGCACAGTCTGTGAAAACACAACCACCATTATCATTTCTCTTCCCTTCATAAACAAATTATCCAAAAAAGATTTGTAGAGTAAAATTTCAGTTTTCATCAAGTATATCATAAAACATGCTATATATTCAAATCATGTTTTCCTACGTTTACTAAGAGCAAACAGTTTAACTTCTGCAATCAGAGGACTTGCAAATTGCTGAGCTTATTTCTGATAAGAGTTTACAAGGACAAAGAAAAGGATGAATAACAGTATTCGATTACCGTTTGTGAGTTTTGAGAGTTGCCTTTGAATCCTTTAGGTTTCTCCCACTGTGATTCTTAAAAAGCAAAAACATATTTCACCCATCATTCAATCCTGTTTATGTTTAATAATATTTAGAAAAAAAAAACAGATCTAAAGGGTATGACACTGATGTTTGCACATGTACAAATAAGTAATATAGATACAGCTCACTGGAATATAAATCATCCTTGATCAAACTATGGTATGAACAATAAACCAAAGTATCATAATTACAGTTGGCTTTACTGGGACTAACCACCTTCCAGACTCTATTACTATGGCTGATACACAGATACTGGAATTTTGGTACAAAAAGGGTGTTTTTTTTTTTAAACGGTAGCACAGGCCAGAAGGAACTAAACACACAAGATTTTTACCTTTTGGAAGCTATCTTGTATGAGGAAAGACTATGGTAAATACTAATGTCAATTCTTAAATTTATAAGAAACAGTTTGTAATACTCTCATTATCCATAAAAGAGGGTTGCTTTTACGCTCTAAAGTAGATTATAACACATAGCTCCTCAACAGAAGTCAGTCAGTTAGACAAATCCTGTAAATGTGGAAACAAACAATCAGACAGCAATCCGTAACTGCTCTTATTTACTTGGGCACAATCAATTTCTTTCACATTCCTGATAAGAAAGCTCCTTTAGGAAGAACACAGCTACTTTTTGTATATTTAACCTCTAAGAGGCTAAACACCTCCAGAAACTGTGGAATTACTGCATTCTCCCATTATTAACAAATAGCAAAACCAGTCTGAAGTTATAGATGCCTATGTCTTGAATGTTAAGTATCAAAACCCCATCTAATTGTTCACATTTTAATAATCAGCTTACTACCGAGACAGCAGAAGAGTAAAGAAATGCAGGTAGTCTGTTCTCATTTAAATCCAATAACTGTATCTACATTTGCTCCTCACTAGTTTTTACCTCCTGTTCTTGTGTTGTAGTAATACGTATAGCCTTCGGGAGAAAATCCTTGGACCCACTCCTTTGTTTCAGTTTTTGGTGGCACTGAGGTGTCCTGAGCTGTCTTTTTTTTCTTTTCTTTCTTTTCCTTCTTTTCTTTCTTCTCTTTCTTCTCTTTCTTCCCTTTAGTTTCCACTGTGTTACTCTGTGTTTTATTCTGTGTTGAACTGGGACCTACATCATCTTAAAGAAAATAATACTGCCTTTAAAAAAAAGAGTAATAATCTGAGCTTAAATATTGGTCACTCTTGAGCAACAGCAAATAGGAAATTTTGTTCTTATGAGTATTTTCACTCATTAGTCTTACACTCCTCATAGCAGGTTAACTTAGAAGATGATCAGACAATCTCACATCGTCGCAATACTACAGTGTTACAAGAAAGTCCAAATATCACAACATGAGTAACATTAAGAGGAAAAACCGTAAGGACCAATAAGCTCTAACTAAACAAAAACAAAAAAGAAACTAAAAGTTATAAAAAAGATATCCTCTATAGGAGCTTGAAACTACAAACTTTTTTTAAAGCATACTATATCTTTCCCTGGGGAGAACAAAGTCACTTGCTGAACTGCAAGCTGAGTAGGAGATTCTCACTGCCACTGTTGGACACCAGTGGGAACCCAACCACTCCTACTCAGTAGGAACTTTTGTCTCCAACAGGCAAAAGTGAAACAAAATTAACTAAGAGATGCTACACTGCTGATTCAAAGCAACAACTACAGCCCATTTTTTGTTATAACATTGTTTAATTTTTCTACTCCAAATCAGATTGTTCCACAGACCAAAGGACATTGTAGCAAAAACCAGTCTGTATCGCAACTACCAGCAATTTGTAGATTCCTTGTTAGGGTTTTGGGCTTGTTTTGGTGTTTTTTGTTTGTTTTTGGTGGTTTTTTTTTTGTTGTTTTTTTTTTTTTTTTTTTGTTTGTTTGTTTGTTTGTTTTTAAACGAGCAAACAGTCCTGGAAGCCTCCTCTCATGCCCCTAAAACCTAATTTAAGAAAAATACATTCCTAATTGATATCCTTTCAATTCCATCTTTAATCCTTTGGCAGCTATATGAACTACCTGGCTTAATGCCAAGCCTTTTCAAATCCTCTTGATATGCTTTCATTGCAGCCTCCTCCATTGCTGCAAATTCTTTTGACATGTTTTCTTCTTCTTTTGCTTTTTCCAAGCTTTTCTTCTTAATCTAAAACAAAACAAAAACCCCAAGGGAATTAGACAAGTCTGATGAGAGATTAAAAATAAGTATTTGTGCAAGTAAGATAGTTGAGTTACCTCACTAATTCTTTTTGCCACATTTTCTTTATGATTCTTTCCTCTCTCATGAAACTCAATGCTCTTAAAAGCGAGAAAAAACAAGAAAAATAAGATGTATCATACAATTTTTATTTAGTTAATTTTAGTTACTTAAACTAAACTTAGTTGAAAAAGCTTACATGTAACCTGTTCTAAAAACACTTATAGCAAACATTACAGCTATATAATGCCTATAGGAATTCAGGAACACTGAGAAACACTCAACATAGAAATTATGAAAACTCAGTAGTGCTCCAAAATAGTATAATAAAATTTCATAGTCTGTATTTGTAAGATTTAAAATTTTTCAAATAATATTGTTCAGCACACAGTGACAAGTAACAGGGAATCTGGGCTCCCTCTTCATGCTATTATTCTAAGTATCATCCCCTGTTTTTTTTTTTACTCTCTCTATTTTTGTGCAAACTTTTAAAAACCATATGGATTATTTAAGAGTTCCAAATATTAGCTATGGCTCTTAATTTGATTATGCTATGCTTCACAAATATCCCATGAACTTCAACTAGTCTGCAGGTCCCCAAATCTGAGAGAGAGGGGAAAAGGCCAGGTGGGAGTGTTGGGTAATTAAGGACAACAGAACAGTCTGCAAGCCAAAAGCTGCCAGAAAGACTGAAGCCAGAACTGGAAGTTCGGAAGCTCTACAGGTACAACAAAGTCCTCATGTAGTTCTCACAAAAAACATCTGAGCTCATTTAGGTGTTCCAATGTTAGGTGCCTAAGCCTGACCTAGTAACCCTAGAACTTCTTTGCATGAGCTGATGTGCAGAGGATGTGCACCCAGGGAATGATACATCTTATTTAAAGACTGACTTTGTAAATTACCCAAATCTCCCCCGTTAACATGTGTTTCTCTTCACTGGCTACAAGACGAAGCCTAAACCAATAAGCTCACACTTGTCATCCCAAACTGCAGGTATCTAACTGTAAGCCAGATGAAGCTCAGCTCCAGGAGTACCCCTGGTATCGAGTCAGGAATGCAGAACTTCTTTCCAAGTAAGAAACCAATGGGTCTAGTAGTCTGCAAAAGGCATCTGCAAGTCAGAAACACTTTTCTGTAACCTACTAATGTTTCTGTGGGCTGTGTGAAATGAACAAAACTGCTTCAAATGCTTAAAGTGCTGGCTCTACCAGGCCTACCATATACAAACAGTACGTATGCCAGGTTTTGCTTTCTACTTGCATATGAAGGCTAGGAACAGGTGCAGACAAAGTTTCAAGACAGATCAAATGTTAAGTTACAGAACTGAAGAAAAAGCAGGGTCAGATATTTCAGTTCTTATCTGTACTACCAAGTAGAACAGCACACACTGTCTTGTATGCAGGTATCTGGCTCTCATGTAATGGATTTTAAATATCACAAGTATTACGAAGGCATTTTTAAAAAACAAATTTCATGCATCAATTGATTAGTATCAAAAGTGATGTTAAAAGCCTGTAATTCAAATTCCTAGTATTTCAAAATCATTGACATAGTATGGTAGACCATCGTACAGGTCTGTTGTCTGCTATCCAGCACTTGCAGTAATCGCAGAATTTTTTTGGCTGAGATTTCCAGTAATCGGCCCTGGGGAGAGAAAAAAAAAAAGTATAATCTGAAACAATAATCAAACCCACAGTTATATATATATATATATATATATAGCTTCAGAAACTAAATTTACTCTTCTTGAGGTAATTTAGTGCTAAGAGTTTTTCTTTCTTTTTTTTTTTTTTCTCTTTTTTTCTTTTAAAAAACCAGGAATATGGGGAACAAGGAAGAGTAGCTATATTGACTACTGTGTCCCATAAAGCACAGTTCAGTATTGAGATAGTGCCCATCTGACCCGTGAAGACTGCAGAATTTTAAAAATGGAGGTGATGGAGAACCAGAAATACAAGATAAAGCAAGCCAGAGATAAACAAGCAGTTCTGGATACCCTAATTAAACACAGAACTGTCAGAAACATGCAACCTGAACTGGTTTTCATAAAAATGCATACAAGAAATGTTTTAAGTGTAAAACTTTAGATTTAATGTCAAAGTCTACTTTGGATTACTGTACACAGTGAACTTAGCAACACAAAGGTGCAGTTCTGGACAATGTGAGCTACTGTGGGGAATCCTAGAACAGATTCTGACCTGTGGGGTCACAGACACAGCAGTAAATTGTTTGATGTTTCAGGGTAAAAATGTGAGTTTTTCTGAACCATGCAATTTAGATAAGTTGCATATGTGTGAGGAAACTTGTGGAAAACTCTTCAAAGCTCAAAAGTTAGTACATAAAAGTATTTAACAATAAAACAAACAACCCCTCTGATGGCTGTTTCTTCATCAAAAACTGCTTTCTAATGCCAGATGAGGCTTGTGCAGAAATAATTCAATTTCTTGTTGGCTTGCAGCAAGAGATGCAATGCTTTGGTTCAACAGAACACATTCCAGCAATAGACCTCTATGTTTTTAAATTAAAACGAAGCAGAATGAGGGGTGAAAACAAAAGCAATCCAAGATTACACTGAGAACATTAAAAAATACCAATCCAAAAAACGAATCTGTGCCTTCTGTCTGAAGATCAACGTACAGAGATCAAGGAAAACACTTCCTGACATTTTTAATCAATAAAACCAAAATTACTTCCATGCACAACAATAGCACCTTCAAACCTTATGATATGTGCGAGCAGATCTTTAAAAACAGACCTGATCAACTCTTAAAGTTTAAGCAGGTATCAAAATATGCTCTCCTACCAGTGCTTAAGGTAAAAATATAATTTCTAAGAAACTACCATTATTTAAAAGTGTAAATATGAAGTATATGCTCTGCAAAAATATAACAACCTATAAGCAATATTGTGTTAGCAACACGCAGCTCTTCAAGCAGTTTTCTGGAAAGCTAGGAAGAAGCAGCTGAACTTCCCCCAGTTTAAACAGAAATCTGCTCATCCCTAAAGGGTGTACTTTAAAACTAGCTGATTACTTAGTCACACATTTAATTAAAAGGCTTTTGAGATTTATGTATCAAAAAGTACTAGGGCCAAAGCCTGGAAAACTGAACACTGGCTGGAAAACCAGCTGAGTGGGAAGGAGAAATTCAGAGCTCCAGAAATACGTCTAGGCCTTTTTTTTTTTTTTTTTTTTTTCTATTTGAGCTATAGCTCCTAAAGTGTCTCTAAATCCTTTGACATCATCTAGGATAAATTTCCAGCTAAAAGCTGGGTTAACCTTCCTAAGGCAATGGAGCAGTTCTGACAGAAAACACATAAATTGTAAAAGAGCCTCCCTGCATGTTTCGAAAGTGCAATAACATCTGCCTGTTTCCACGTTTCACCTAACGGAGCTGGCTCTTTCTCTTCAACACAATCAGGTGCAAGTGCTAAAATTAAGACTCTATAGCTGCACCTAACAAAAGTCAAGACCTGAGAGTGTGATGAGCTGCACTTTCACAGCTATATTTTCCACCGATTTCTTTCTTAAACACACTACTGGACATCACATCTGTCGCAAACCACTGTAGCTACACACAGAGTAATCCACAGAGTAATCGTGCTGGAGAACCTGAGGGCACACCTGGGGCTTAAGTACAAATACAGGTCTTGATGACAGAAGCCTTTTGTCTTCATCTCATACTAGTTTTGATAAAGATTGGAGCTGGCTCTCTGTTGTTACATATAAAATAAATGTAAATGATACTCTGTGCAGAAGAGTTGATATCCTGGGAATCTTAAATCCTGCATATCATGATTCATGAAGTTAATTGTGTAAATTATGGTCCCAGTTCTGTGACTTATAAGCATGAGGAGTGTTTTGTGCTGAGCAATTCTCTTAAAGAGTTTCCACTTGAATTCATACCCCTCAAAAAAAGAGCAAGCTCAGCTGAAACATCTACTGAATAACACCTGTCATTGTAGCAACAGTGGAGCCTGCAAAGCACCAATGCTGCTGCAATGAGAGCAAATCAGAGGAGTGTTTGGAAAGGAGCAGCAACTGAAGTGAGGCACCATTTCAGTGAGATGCTTACAAGCGCTTCACAGGCTCCGCTCACAAACCTGAGAGTTAATCCAGATCGATGACAATGTTAAGTATGTGATTATTTTATTAATCTGCCAAATATAGCCTTGAGAGTAGACGCTGTTAAGGTGGTACAGAGGTCTTTTATACTTGAATAATTGTGTACAAATCAAGGGAAACATAGTTATTTTAAAAAGCCATTGCAGTCAAAACGTTACAGCTTTTAAGACTCCTTACCTTCTGCCTGTATTTACATCAGTAAAGTCAAAGTTGATTCTTGTTTTCAGCTTTACAGCTGGGCCTACCTGCTAAGGACCAGAGAGCTGACCATCACCACCACAACTATCTTTTTTTCTTTCACTAAAACAAAGAGCCAGTCCAGAGTGCACCAAGTCTGGCTTATCCAGGTCTGCAGGGTTGAGGTTCAGCACTGTACACATTTACCCAGGTGGGGCTCCCAAACAGGAGCCTGGTGACACGGACCTCAAAAACTGTGCAAGTTTTACTGCAAAGTTCTACCTCCTGGGAAGGGTTCTGACAAAGTCTGCTCAGAGCCCGATTTTCCAGAGCTGGCTGAGCAAGTAAGCTTAGCAAGCTGCTACTGGGCACACAGGGAACAGAGCAGCACCTATACAGATGGGTACTGGGCAACTTCTAGACAAACCTCTGCAAACTTTCAGCCAGAGTTGGAAATCCAATACTAACTTGCAAGAAACGTGTGTATCCTAAAGAACACTGATATTCCTTCAACTTTTACTGGTCAAACCACTCAGGGGGAGAATGTGCAACAGTTCAGAGGGCTAAAGGGTAAAGGCAGAAAAAGGGAGTGAACGACAAACTGTTTTCTTGAAACCTTAATGAAATGACAAGCTCTTTGCTGCAAACAGCTGTAGAGTGCAAACAGCATCAATTTTAAAACCATTTTCAGATTTCTGAAATTCATTTAAAACTTCCGAGGGAGTGAGAAGATGGGGAATAACAAGTAGCAACTCTGCATTAACAGTACCTGCCACATTCACCATTTCAGAAGATACGAAAACGCTGAAACTCTGAGAGAAAACTGCAAAACTCAGGTATTTTCACTTTCCACAATTCATTTCTTGAGCCGTGACAATCATGCAGCTTATGCTGCAACGACCAGGTTACGCATGCCAGCACGTGAGCTATGTGTCTGGGAGAACACAAAGGGTTCTGTCGACAACCTTCAGAAAGTAATCCACAGAGTAACTCCTGCAGTACTGGGAACTGGGCCCCAACCTGCGAGCTGCTTCTCCTCACAACTTACAGTGTTATTAATGTTTTAACAGGTGGTGGAATCAGCTTTCCTCATATAGGGAAGCTTAAGAAACCCTCATAAAGAAGCTATCTTCTACTGAGACAGCTTCGCCAAACTTTACTTTGAGACTGGGCTGGAGGTTTTTGTTCCTACCGCATACTGGCTGAAATTAAAAGGGGCAGGGGGGGAAGAAACAACTTGTTTCTGTTGGTTCTGAACATGAAAAAAAAAAAAAATTTGGCCGTGCAAACAAAATCTAGAAGCATTTGCTTTGAATAGCTCTGTTCTAAAACATCAGACTTAATTTGGCAGGGATGCAGCGGGGTTTGTATCAGGGATATATATGTCCAAAGCCTTTAGCAGGTAAACATCATTCACATGCTCAGCAGTCTTCTTTGGTTTTAATATCTACAACCTCTGAAGACTTTACACCAAGTTGGTATCTTACAGCTTTCTGCAGGTTTGAGCACTGAACAGCTCGTGTGTGCATCATCTTCTTGAATACAGGTGTGAAGTAAGTAATATACAGATTAAAGTTCTTGACTGCAGAAGGAAATTAATTCAGAGTAGCTATTGTGGCTGCTCTGTAACAGCCACTCAACAGGACACAGTATTCAAAAATAGTAAGAAATTCTACTTGTGAATACTGTGTTCTTCTAAAGAAGTACTTTATGTAACTTCTAAAGTTCTGTAACAGAAAATAAAAAGAATGAAAGAAAAGTATCACATATATTTCACAACAGACCCTCTTCCAGATGGGAAGCCATTCCAGACCAGCTAATTCTAAGTCAAATATCCCAGTATTGGTAAGGCTTAAGAATGAAACATTAAAATTGGCAGAGAAGGCCAAAAAGGTTTTCTTGTATGGTGAAGTAGGTCCCAATTCCATGGCCCTAACGACCCACATTCCCAAATAATTTACAGTGCACTAGTCCTACCCTAAAAACTCTTGTTAAATACATAACCTTAATTTTTATTTTTTAAAAAAATTGATATTTAAACATAAGAACTCAAGAAAACAGCATCCCTGATGCACTGAGTATGTGGGCCTGTTCTACCTAACTTTAGCTTGTCGGCCTTCTAGTATATCACAGCATATACATCTATATGGGGGCTCCCACAGAGTGGTACTGGATGGGAGATTCATCCACACGAAACAGAGCAGTTCTCTGAAGGGTTTTGCCCTTCTGGCCTTCAAGCTGATATTATTTTTGGCAATTCTTCTGTAAATTTTAATTTACAACCCAAGTGGCTGCTTCTTTTTATTACTATATTATCCCCCTCTGAACAACATAAAAATCATAACATCCTGCAGGACAAGCTGAGCAGAGTCTGCAGATGCTGCTCTGTCTGGCCTGTACGGGTGCTGAAGATCAGTTACATGGATCTGCTTTGACAGATCTCTTTTCGAAATTCTAAATTATATAACTTGAAAGGTAACGCTACAAATATTTTTAACAATATACAGGAATGCACAAGGCTATCATGGCAGACCGCCTTCTGCATGTACAGAGCCCAACGGACCTCATCTCCCTGAAATTCAGTTGTCTAAAAATGGAGATACTGAGTTGTCTAAGTCCTCCATGTCAATAGATGGAGACTCATCTCCAAAATGCCACACTCCTTCCATTCTAAACAGGCATCTGAGAAGCAAATTGAACTCCATAGGTGCGTGTTTCTTCCTTATATAGGGAACCTCAAATGAACTGCCTGAGTCAGCCTTCAAAAGTTAAATATCTTAAGTCAGGGATATCTACCGAGAGCAGAAGTCTGCTGCTGTAGATGCAGAAGAAGGATATGGGCTGTGTCAGGAAGAACATGATAAGAATTAGAAGGGAGAAAAAACCCAGCAACATAAATTGGGTCAGGAAACTGTTCAGGTATAATTTTAGCAGTAACTAAAATTAAGAACACTGCTGTATGTAGCATCAGTCTGCAAGCCAGGCTCACACAACCCAACCATCAAATACTTCTCCACAGGAAGATTTCTAAAGAAATTTTTGATCAGGTTAATTTTTTTTTTTTCTTGTTTGATTGAGCAGATAAGTTAGGATATCTTGAAAAGTAACATAAACGAGCAAATGGCATTCATATGACGTTCTCACTTACTAAAGGCCAAAGCTTGTATTTTTACCACCCTCCCCAAATACGGTCAGACATTAACATGATTTTTCTAGTTAAACACTTTAAAAAGAGGCAGCGGTGGCCAGCAAAAGCAAGGCGGCAGAGGCTCTCTCCCCCACGCTTTCCCCCGAACCGCAGGCGCCAGAGGAGGCCGCAGGGACAGACGCCCTTCCCCGCGGAAAGCCCCCCCGCGGGTGGGAGGCGACGCTGCCCGGCCCGCCTGCGGGAAGAGATAAGGACTCCGAAGCGCAGCAGAAACAAACAACCGGGGAAAGGGCGGACGGGGAGCAGAGGGACCGCAGCAAGAGGGAAATAATTCGGTGAGGGTGGTTGCCCGCAGCGCGGCCTCCCCAAGGCCCGCGGGCACCGGGGCCGAGGTTGGGCCCGGCCCCGCCGCCCCCACCCCGCGTTGCCCGGTCCCTAAAACGGGGGGGGGGGGGGGGGGGTCCCGCGGGCGGAGCGCGGCCGGCGCTGCCCGCTCCCTCCCGTCCCCGGCCACTCACATCGCCGCTTGTCCCCGGCAGACGCCGACCCGCTCCGCCGGTGCCCTCCGCTCGCCCGCCAGCCGCGCCGCGCCGCGGAGGGCGGGCCGGGGCGGGGAGAGAGAGGGAGCGCGGTGACGGGAGCCGGGAGGGCTCAAGCCGCGCTCTCCTCCCCCCCGCCCTTCCCCACCTCCTGCCTTACGCCCGCTCCTCCTCCCCTCCGCCCCCGGGAGAGCCGAGCGCTCTGCGGGGAGCCGCTGGGGGAGGAAGAAGCCGCCGGGGGAGGAAGAAGCCGCTGGGGGAGGAAGAAGCCGCCGGGGGAGGAAGAAGCCGCCGCCGCGCTCGGTGAGTATCGCCCGCGGCGAGCCCCGCGCCCGGGGGGACGAGGCGGTTCTGCCCCTTTCCCAGTGGTGGTTGTGGGGGGGGGGGGGGGGTTGTGGGGGAACGCCGGTCCCCTCGGGCCGCAGGTTCGAGCCCCGCCGCCGGCAACAGGCACGCCGTGACGGGCTGCTCCTGCCCCGGGGCGGGGCGGGGTGCGAGGTGGGGCTGGGGGAGGCGGCGGCGGGCACCGGGCACCGGGCCCCGGGCCCCGGGCGGGCGGCGCTCCCGTCCCGCCGAACGCCGCTGCCAACTTTCTGAGGAGTTGGGGCACCGCGCGGGTGTGAGTGGTGGGGGGGGGGGGGGTGCTGTGTGCCGACCTCTCCTCCTCCTCCTCCTCCTCCTCCTCCTCCTCCTCCCCCCCCGCCGCCGTCCCGGGGCAGCGGCGCTCCCGGGGGGGGGGGGGGGTGGGGGGGAAGCGGCGCGCGCGGGACGGTTGGCGGCCGCGCGGGGAGGCCGCGGCGCGTGCGTGCGCGCCGGAGGCGGCGGGGGAGGGGAGGGGAGGGGGACCGTGGGCCGGCGCCGCCCCGGGGTGTGGGTGTTGGGACACGGGTGGGGGGGGGGTACGGGACACAGACGACACGTCGGACACGGACGGGACGTGTTACCCACTCCCCCCCCCCCCCCCCCCCCCCAGCCCCGAGCCTCCGGGGCTGGTGAAGCCGGGTCTCCTCAGCTGCTCTCACCCCCCCCCCCCCCAAAACTCACACCGGGTTTTCCTTCCATACACACCCCTTGAGCGCTGCGAGACTTATTTCCCGAAGGTACCGCGGGGAAAAAGAGGGGGAAAAAAAAAAAAAAAAAAAAAAAAAGTTAATTCACCGGCTGCAGCTGGCAACCTTCTTTGCGATAGTCACGCACAGGGGTGGAGGAGAAGCCTGCGGGGTGAGTCATGGATTTAAGAGGCCCTCTGGTTGTTTATGGCAAAACCGGGGTGGCTAATCCAACATGCGGGAAATAAGTGGAAAAAGAGTAGCTTGAATTCGTAATAAAAGGTTAAGACGGAGGTGCCCATACACTCCACACACCCCCAGCCCCAACTTGCTCTCGAGCAGCCTTAAACAGGAGGAGGGGAAGTAATGTTGCTTTTTCTTGGAGGAGGGCTTGTGGTCAGACTGTCATAGCTAACTGCAGCAGTTATGCGTTTGTCAGCATTTCCATTATAAGTGTAGTTTTTATGTAGTTTACAACTTGGTTACAAAAATATGCGCTGGGTTGAAATTTGGTTGATGGCCTCTTCTCCAGAAACATCTTCTAAGCAAATTTTGGAACGACTCTGCTTAGATGCTAAGTGGAAATCCATGGAAAATACTGGCTTTTTATGTTTCTCTGAACTTTAAAACTTAGCTGCTTACGCACATGGACACAGTTACAGCTGTTAGTCCATAAAAAAAATTCCTCCACCCCCTAAGTTTGTTAAATTTGGGAAGAATTTAAAGGCTTGGCTTCTGCAAGCATTGGTCTTTAAGCATGAATTAGTGCAGCAGAGACTCTCTGAAGACTCTTGCAAGGTCCCGGCCACCTCGTGTGAGGGCACCCACCTACAGAAGTGGTGTGGGGCACTGTGTGTCCCCACAGCTCTGACCCTTGAGTGCCAGGACAGTTGGAGTGTCTCAGCGCTGTGGACAAGAAGCCGGTGTTAAAATGAGGGTGGACTATGTTAATTTTGCTCTGTGGGATATTTTTTTTTTTTTTTTTTTGCCATGACTGTTCAATTGCTGCTTCTGAGACAGGGAACAAGCACAGTATTTAAAAGGTTTCGTTTGTATACCTCTGTATATACACGTATCTGGATCCCGTGAAACATGCCTGCCACCCAGTGGATGTAGCTGATCTCTATATACTCTATACATATATATTTTGTACATTTACAACCTCTCAGCCCTACCACATCGATAAGTTTGCAAAGTGACAGTGCTCAGGAGTTGTAAAACTGCCAGGGTCATCTGGCCGCCCTGGCCCTGTGCGCGAGGATGGTGTCTGTCGTGACTGGGTCCACCACCGTCCTTCCCGGCCAGCCAGGGTGATGAACTAGACGTGCATCTGCCAAGGTGTAGCAGCTCCCTGCCTGGGCAGCAGTGAGGAGAGGTAATGTGAATGAGGCAGATGATTATACGCAGAGGGAGAGGCAGTTTCACGCGTGAGACGGCTGGAGAAATGGATTTTTCGTGAAGGTTTTCACACATAGGCTGTTGGGTTTTCTGAGTGCCTGGGATCTGCTTTGCAGTTATGCTGAATGTGTCCGTCTGGAACAAAAGTCAACGGCTCTTTGGTCTCGATGTATAGGATGTTTTGTAGGTCTAAGCATGCTAGAAATACAAATCTTGTGTGTCAGAATTGCTCGCTCAGTGTCTGTAGCTTTTTGCTTTGATCTTTTCATACCTTAGTTTCCCAACTTTAAAAAAAAAGTGGATAACATGTATCCTTTATCTTATGGATTACCGTAGTGATGAGAACCATAAAAAGAATGTTGGAGAAAAGAAATAATTCCCTCTGTGGTTTGAAAGTAGGTAGTGATGCTCTAAAGAACGAGAGCGAAAGGAGGAATTTGTGTGTTAATTATAGCAAAGCTTCCATGGGGAAAAAAATGTGACCAGGTCAATTGCAATTAGAGACTGACCTCCATACATATGAGCGCTAGGAGAGGGTTTTAATTACCATAGGCCACTTAGTTCTAATAATTCGTAAATTCTGCCATGTTAATCACATTTTTAATAATGCTTTATGTGTGTAATTTCCAAGGTTTTTTTATCCCTTAGGACAAGAACTGAAAACCAGTTAGGCAGCCTAGGGCAGTGTATTCATGTCACCATCCTTCATCGACTGGATTCCTGTAACGCCCGAGACTTTGCTGTTTGAGCTCTCTGCTGAGGGTAGCCAGTGGTGGGAGGTCATGGCTGCAAAGACCCGTTGGATGGGGCAGGGAAAGGGAGAAGCAGGACTCCTGCTCGTGTCCCAAGTACCTGGTGCTGTCGTGGCCTCCACCAGCCCTTCTGTGGAAAGCCAGGAGTCTCCTGCCACTCCCTGTCTTGGAGCAGTTATCTGAGCTGCAGCCCTGTCCTGCGTGGGTGCTGGGGAAGAAATTGCTCGTTGCTGTGGGGATTGCCTATGTCGTCTGATCAGCATGAGAAGTTGAGAAAATAGTGGATATGTCCTAGCAAAGACCTACTGAAAATGCACAAAGTGTAATTCGTCTTTGGACACTTGACCAGATGCAGGTGGATTTTTTCATGGGGGCAGCAAAAGGGACACCTCCAATATAGTGGCTCCAGCCCTCATGTCAGATTTCAAATCTGTCATCAAGAACTGGAAGGGTGCTGTAGCCTTCCAAGTTTGCCAGAGATTTCTGTTTAACATTGAAAGACAGCATTTTCCCTGGCCTTGTTCTGAAAACACCTGAAGTATTTTGGCCGACTTCTTCTAATCACAATCTGCCTCTTTCTGCACCCCTTGCTCAGAGGCAACCTCTACAACACATGGAACAAAATTTAGCCTGAGGCAGACATTCAATTTGGAAAATTTCAACCCAAACAGTCAAAGTCTGGCCAAGTTACAAGCAGCTGGAAGCAGCATCTTGCATTGGAAGTGTTCAGCAACCACCTAGTAAGTGGTGCTACAAGCTTCATCAATACTGTGAATATGTTTATCTCCATGGAAATACACTGCTAAATGGTAATATTAATTGATTACCCGGCCGACTAACTGGCAGCCAGTTGATTCTGATTTTTTTTTTTTAAATAGAGAATCGAACCTAAAACTCTTTGGTTAATTGTATGAATACTTTTCTTTACTCACATTATTCACTGCTGTTTTCCTGGTTGAAAAATCGAAAACTTTAAAATGGAGCCTCTGAAATAAATGACAAGCCAAGGCTTACTTGTTCTGAGTCTTTCAGAATGACTTAACAATTGTTAAAGACCAATTTACAGTAGAACTAGAGCAAATTGCTTCCCATCATTTTGAATTGTTAAAAACCACATCTCCCAAATTCCTAAGCTATTAATCAACTGTTCTATTGTGGCAGACTCACCCTATATTGTGTCCCTGCTATATCTATTAACTCTGCATTGAAGTGTGAGTTTAAAACAGTTGTGCCATAGAGTAACTGTGGAATAAATACCACAAACATTGGCAAATTTGCTTCATAAATCTTAGTTTAGAGGGAAACTTAGGCGTGCCTTTCTTCTATGGGAGTGCAGCTGTTTCTTGTGGGGTCCCCCGGGGGCTGGGTCTTGGTCTAAGGCTGTTTAATACCATTATATTCACAGTTTTTGTGATGGTATCTTGTCATTACCAGTAGATTGCATGCATGTTTGTGCGTGTGTGGAACAAGTTACGAGTACGGTGTGCTCCAAATAATTTTTTAAAATGGTCAGCATCCAGCAAAAGACGTTTTTTCATGCAGCCATATACAAAGGAACCAGGAATGCAGTTACACCAGCAGGGTAGGAGACTGTCTTCGAACTAATAATTTGAAAGAAGGCTTAAGAATTTGTGCGGAGAATCATCTCAAAAGGAGTTTTCATTGTAATGCTGCGACTGAAGTGTGGTCTTTGGCTGTATAGCAATACAAATATTGCACAGAAATAGGAAAATATGTGGCATTAGTAAGATCACGGGAATTCTGTGTCTGGTTTTGCTGTTCACATGTGAAGAAGGATGTGAAATATTAGTAAGAGCACAGTGACAGCATTTGGAAACCAAGCTTGACAATGCAGGGTATACAGGGT